CCTCCTTTTACAGTGGCGAGAAGGAAAGTGAGGGTCGGGTTCCTTCTCTCTGCTTGCGGGCCGGCCTTTAAGAAACAATTTTTATTGCTCGTGGTACAAATAATCGGTAAAGTAAAACTAAATTAGCCCTTGTTTGGAAAATTTCTAAATATTTGGCTGTCTGAAGTGAAGACAAGCCTCGTTGAAATTTCCTTCCAAGTTCGAAAGAGGACGACGAAGTTCAGTCCTAAAAACAATGAAAAAGAAGTGAGCAGTGAAAGGCGGGCGGTACTCCGGCAGCATGGTTGGCCAGCATGTAAGAACTGTATAAAACACCGTCATAAATTAAAAAACCTGTAATTCGGCTCCACTGAAAGTTGACCTATTAGTAAATTACACGAATATCGAGGAGAACGCTGGAAGTGTAATTCTACGTACCGCGCGCGCTGGCCTTCCACTTATAAAAGATTTGAAGTAAATAATCATATTAAATCTTTGACGAACGCGCGTGCTCGGCAAAATTTGTTTTAAGGGGGGACACTACCCATAAAAAAAATTTTCTGCAAAAAAAGTTGATTTTGAAAAATGTCATATTTACATCCACCAGCACCTGGAAAGTATTTCCAGAAAGTATCATTAGTTTACACCGCATAGTTAATTTTTTATAAATTATTTTCGATCCATTGAAGCTAAAGGAAAGATAGGGGTTGGAACACCTTGAACACATTTTTCTCCGTTCCACATTTTGGCATAAATTTCATTTTAGGAAAACTATCGTTTGTTAATGGGACAAGAGGAAAGACTCGCTTATCGTTTTTCCTAAGTGAAATTTTATGGGCAGTGCAACTATGGAATTGTTTTTTGACTTTGTGGATGTCTTTTATAAAAGATGTTAAAATCTTCTGCTTGACATAAAAGGCAAAAAAATTTATTTGATTTTTCACTGTGATGTTAGCATGAAGTAAATTCTTTTTTAGAGATTTTCTTTTAACAGCTGCACACTCTAGGCATTCTACTGCAGATCTAGAGTAGAAATTGTTTGGTATTACATTAGTTTCCTAACGATAGTTTTCCTAAACAAAGTCGGTGTGTTCCTGATAAAAATGACTACAAGTTATTTTACAACTTATGTACACTGATCAAACTTTGCACTGCATTCTGCCTTCCAACTTCCAGTATATACTCTAAATTTCATTCATATTAAGCCATAGGTTCAAACGTTAACCCTACTGGGTAGTGTCCCCCCTTAAGCTTTTTGCTTTAGAACAGTTATTACTGCAGACGCCAGCACGTGCGGCGCGTGTAACTACACTTGTAGCATCCACCTGGGTGCTTGGGAAATTTAGCAAAAGGTCTAGGGGACGCTGTCTGCTTTTGTGTGCTATCAATACCCGGCCGATTGAGTCAAGGCAATCCACTTTCAAAGACGTTGCCATGCCGACAACTATCGCGTTCATATAGGCTGAGGAATGGCCAGAATCGAAAGGCTATCTAAAAAATGCGGCAAGGTCATTGCTCATGCTTTGCGTTTTAAGTGAGGTAGGGCAAATCGAAAGCCTCCTGCACCATCCATTGCTGGCTAACGTGCCCGATATTGGAGCTACTACGACGTATTAGTTCCAAAGCGAGCGGCACTCACTCACCGGGGCACCGCCATGTTTCCCCGCCGTCCTTACTCTGCCGGTCACGTGACCTAAAATTCCCCCTCGTAGGGAAATGTGGTTAACTTCTAACCGCGGTTAGAGTTAACCAGCTTCGAGCAAACAAGCCCAGGTGCGTGCTGCTAGATGTGAAGATCGTCTGATAGTTGAGCCTAGAGCCACCAAATAAAGTAACAACATTTCGGCCATCTTGGAGCTTGTTGCCAGTTCTCTGAAACTTTATCTGAAATTGGAAAAAATGCTCTTCCGTCCTCTAGAAAGGCTGAAACGGTTTGCGACCGAGCAAAATGATATCGCCCAAGGTGCCCTAACACTACCCAGAGCTCAGCGGGTCACACTTTGAGTTGTAACGAATGCCAATCGCTCTGCTCTGCACTAAGCGTCAAAATGGCGGCGCCCGTGAGAAATTTGGGGAGTGAAGTGTCGGCATTCTAAGAGCGACTCATTTAGTAGCTCTAGTCGAACCTCGCTAAAGTGTGATCGCAGTTGCCGGACCGGCACCCAAACGCAGCATTTTCCATCCACAATGGCCAGACTTGCTTTTAGCACGTCGCTGATCTTGAACGTTTATACGCGAGCCGTAATTAGGCGCATGAGTGGTTAACTCTGTAACGAAAGCTAAGAAACTTCTTTTGCGGGATCATTCCGTAAAAGAAAAGGGTTTTCTTTTTACGGGACGGCGGAAATTGCAGTTCATGATCGGCATTACATGCGGAACTTGGATCTTTGCTGCGACAGATTAACCTTTCCGAATCAGTATGGACTGCGGGTGTTGGACTGCGAAGTTGAAATACTTGACAAATGCCTGTCGTGAAAGCCTGAGCCAATGCTCGTCCCTAAAGATTGCCCATCCCATTTTTCTGACTATGCATTTCTTGCGTAAAAAATACCAGAGCTCTGCCTCCAATGGGACAAAGAGCACATTACCCTGATTGCAGCTCATCAATAAACATACCATATTTGCTTGAGTAATAGCAACTCTTCTTATGAATGAGACCCGTGGGTCTGCCTTCCTACGGAACACGGGGTAGCGAATCACCGCGATTGCCAGAACAGTGGCAGAGATAATGTCTTCATGTAAAATTGCTATCTGCTTTGATTGCATTTTTACGAAGGATAGTGTTTTCAACCTTCTTATTCGGTGCATCTTTTATGCAGAATGCCATGATTGGCTGTATGCGTGCTCTGCACTAAAATAATTGCAAGGGCCTTGCTCGGCTATTACTCTGGCAAATACGGTGCAAAGCAAAGAAATGCCATGAGTGAGATCCGAGGTTTTTTTTATTTACTGTTTTGCTCATTAGCCTCTTACATTTAGATGAAAAAATATGAAATGTAGAAGGTAGCAATACAACTAAGAGAAATAATGCTATGGAGCACTTGAATAAGTAAACTTTCGTTAATTCGATCATGACGGGACCTTGAAATTTGGTTGAATTATCCGAAGGATCAAATTAGAAAAAGGATGGAAGAACGGTTAAAATTAAACTTCCTTTTATTGTCCAAAGTACTCACGGATGGTCTGCTGCCGGCTGCGCTTAAAAACACGTTTCCAAAAGCATATTTCGGAGAGCAGCGTAACTAAATGGTCACGTCCTCAAAAAATCGCGTACAAAAAAAAAAAAAAAGAAAACGAACAAAGCAAGTTTTACGAGCCGACTTCGGCGCCGAGCAACCAGACCGTCAACAACAACAAAAAAAAAAAAAAAGGAAAGGAAAGGAGAAGTTGCGCTTTCCGACACGCAAGATGGACCGCACACGATGCTACAGAAAAGTGCTTTGAGCGCACGCTGAGAAAGCGTTACGAGCCGACTTTGGCGCTGGGCGGCCAAACCGTCGGCGACTGGAAAAAAAAAAAAAAAAAGAGGAAAAGAGAATTTGCACTTTCTGGCGCGCAAGATGGACGCACACGATGCTACAGAAAAGCGCTTTGAGAGAGCGCGCTGTCTCCTCGCCTGACCACGTGCTATGTTCTCCACGCTACACCACGATAGATTGGTTGCGCTGGCTCGTGTCATTCGCTACGGTCTATCTGAACGGCGTAGAGGAGCAGGCGCATATTTGCGCACGTTCGGCTTTGCAGCAAAGGGCCAGTGTTTCGCCCAACGTTGGTGGTTCTTCTGCCATGGTGCCGTGCAATGTGAGCCCCTGCGCATTCGCTCGGGACGAATTACCCGATCCGCAGTCTTCCCGAGTTCGAACTATCAAACATTTCCTCCCATAGAAATGTAAGGGCGCTCGCCGGGACTTTTGAACAGGATCGAATTAAACGAAAAGTCGAATTAACCGAGGTCGAACTAACGAAAGTTTACTGTATGATTACACATGTCACTGCATCAACTAGAAGCTTGCGCCAGCTGGCCAACGGGGGGAGACATGCGGTTCGCGTGCCTTTAATCGCTGCCGTGCCTGTCTGCTAGGTGGCGCAAGCTGCTGCCCAGTGCAGCAGTGCTCATTTGCATTCATAAGCCTGCATTCTGCGGCATGACTACACCATGCAGCCGCGTTGTGTGGCCTAACCGAGGGCTTACTGCAGTAATTTTGAAAATATTGGAAATTTGCAAGGAAGGCTATTCAGCTCTACAGTCTGAGCTCATTACAACAGACCTGGTTACAACAGATATTTGGATATAACATACCGATTTGTGAAGTTCGGTTGGTTTTCCTCTACATACTTTGACTTGACTTCATATCTACATAAAACATAATCCTTTTACAATAGACCGAAATCTTGGTCAATATCAAGGTCGGTTGTAACGTGCTTAGACTGTATTAATATGTCAATGTTCCAATCACTCTGCAAAAAGTTTGAATCTTTGTACATGTGGAAGGAAACCTGTTGGGGCTTTTCGCACAAGGTGTAGAAATGGGTGTAGCTGGTGCTTTGTGCTACTCTCGGGAACTGCAGAAGGACTGCTGACATGACATTCACAGGTGTTTAGCTCCTTGTGAAAAGTTATTTTAGCTTATGGGGCTCACAACTTTGTGTAGTATGCTAATTCTTATTTTCCTGGATTTCATGTCCTCTGATAAAGCGTAAAGTTTTGCAAACCATCGGCTATGTGCAGCTGTTTCCCAGTGACATACATTTGCTCATTTCTAGTGGTAGTGTGGAATACTATTTACTGCATATTTATTCTGCTTGGATTTTGTCTTCTGCTCAGTGTATGCACTTATCCCACTGCTCTTTTCAATCTCTACGTTGGAGTACCGTACTTGTCGTAATTACAGTGAATTACGAGACTTTGCAGGCTGACCTTAATTCATGATAGCTACATCTCAATGTCATGTATATGCTGTATGAGCTCAAAGTATTACCAGGTTGGGCATACAGATTTTTGTTTCGCTTTCCCGGTACAGAAGACCCCCACGAAGCAAGGCGGCCTGATGTCCAAGCTGTTCAAAAAGGCTGAACGGGACGACCCCATTGGTGAGCGACAAGCGGAGGGTGCCTCATGCCTTGTTGGACGATGACACGGACACGGGGCAGGGCTTGAGGTCTCCGTTGTCTCTTACTGAGACACACTTTGGCATAATTATGAGGTTTGATATCTGGGGGGAAATGGTTGATTCTTTTCCATTTCTGGCATCCTTAAAATTCGTGAATTTGCCTCGAATCTTGGGTCAAACGTTTTGTACGAACCCTGACATTGGAAGTGCGGGCAGCGCGACACAAATTGTGCCGACTCTGTGAATCTGGAACAAACTTTTTGAGGCTCATTTACAGTAGCGTTTGACTGTGCTGTAGGGGGTTCAGATTTGAGATACAGCTGCGAGTTAGCATGGCACCGAAGCTACGGAACCTTTGGTAGCTACGATAACTCGCACTGTTATTTCAATTCGAGCCCCTCTGATGTAATAATAGCTTTCCGGAAATGTCATACGCTAGCGCGGCAAGTGCCGCTAGATTGCTGCCCGATATGAGTGGTACATCACTGTTAGACCTGTTGAGTTCTTCTTTTTTGTTATAATAACAAAATACGAAATACATCACTTTACAAGAGGCTTACCCCCGAAGTAGCTTCGAATCTCCGAACGACGTGTCGGCCATCATTTCTCAAGTTTCCGAGAGTAACATAAAGTACTGGTTTCTACCATTTTCGTGCCTCGCGCAAAAAGCCATGAAAGGTTTCCTCCAAATGCGCGGATATTTGGCACTTCCACATAGGTCAGATTTGATCATCAGTTTATTCATTTCGGCGTTTGAATAGAGTATGTGTACCATACTCGACTTCGTCTTACAACGGACCGCAGATTGGCACAGATTGGAACGCTGATCCAATCAACGTTCTAACATGACAATGTGACGCTTAGGGTTTTCTGACGTCGTCTGTCACCACTTCGGGACCACCTTTGATGCACGCGCAGAGTGGGACTCTAAACACATCGGTTAGAGATGCGACGTGGAGGGCGTGTGGTCGCGCGATATGTTCGTGGCACTGGATTGGCTGGGACAGCTTTTAGCATCCGCTGCAGTCCGTCGTAAGATGAGACAAGGTAGAGCTTGATTCCAGTGATATCAAACGTTTTTAAGAATAGGTACGACCGATTTTTGACCTTATCCGGTTTTAGGTGAATGCGAGTCTTTGAAACTTGAATCTACAGCTTCTAGGGGCCAAAACCTCGAGCCACTTTAGTTTCGGGGTCCTTCTATCCCGACTTGGGATGGGCTTACCCTTCGGTGTGTGGACGAAACCACCGTACTGGACCCGTGAATTTGCGTTTGAACTCCGAGAATGACGTTGGACGTGCTTCGTGTGCAGTGGTTCGGGCAAATGTGCACGCACCCCCAACCGGGGTCTCCTCGGCGGGTCCCGTCGGGGACGTGGACGACTTTGTGCCGGACGACGGGGATGGCAGCTTCAACAGCTTCCTGGACGACCGGGACCCGGATGGCGGGGCCACCCCCAGCACCGTGGCCGGGGAGGAAGACAGTGCCAGGTGGGAACGTGCTCACTTCAAAGCGCGACATGCTTTTTAGCCCTAACACCCAATGTTGTCTGTCCATCCATCCATGCATTTGCCGCTAAATTTGGCAGAAAAATGGAATTTGTGTGTAGGTCACGCAATGCAAATTTATGTTGCGTGACCGGATGTCACTTGGCCCTTACACCGACTCAGTTTCCCCGCTAAATTTAGTGGAAAATTTAATGTCGCGCAACTTGATGTCGACACCTAAGCACCATTTTCGTTTAGCCCCTAAATTTAGCGGTGAAATTGATGTCGCGTGACTCGACGACACGTCACACGTACGTCGATTCAATTTCCATACTAAATCTACTTGGAAATTGATGTTGCGTGCTCTATGTACCCAGTTTTCCCGTTCAATGTAGCGGGGAAGTCGGTAAAAGTAAAGGTTTTTTTCACCTTCCCAAACTCCGTTTCCAGCGACGACGATGAGGGCAATAACCCCCTGGTGACCGGCTTCCAAGACGACGTGGACCCGGAGGACGTGGTGCCGTCCCGAGCGGTGGGGGACCCCGTGCCCGTCCTGGCTTCCAAGGATTCCAGTGACGAAGAGGACACCTCGGTCGTGCATGGGAAAGACCCCAACCAGGGCGAGTCTTTTCTCCTCTGGGCTCGTCTGACGGCAAATGCGGGCACTTCTCCCGGTTGCTAGAACGGCCGCAAGAGGGGTTTCGAGATCCCGGGATGGACTCTGTGGGGAGAGTGTCTAGCGTCCCAGCCGGCCCTGCTTGGCAGACGTCAGCCTTGTCTATCGTCTACACTAAGTCTCACCTAGAGACGACTTCCTCAGAATAATTTTATGTGCCGCTCCTAAAGTATGCCAATGTTACTGATTTAACTTTCCTTTCAAGACTGTTCACCGTCTTTTTTTGCGCATAATTGGACTCGAATGATGGAAGCGAGGACGGACTTTCAGCACCCATTTGCCTGGAATGCCAGAAACTTTTAGTTTCTTGTCCCTGTGGAGCCAGTCACCTAACCTCGAAATCCCCTAAGCAGCTATCTTAGTCACCAGGAAAAATAGCCATACTTACCGGCAAATGAGACCCGGGGTTGCTTAATACTCGCAGAGTACCGACACTTTCATGCTTTCGCTCAGTGGCATTTTTATTTAGAAATACAGTTGACCCCCCCCTTATTACAAAGCCGGGTATACCGTAATATCCCGAGTCATCGCCCACCCCCCTACCGCCTGAAATTCATAAAAAAGTGGGGTGGGCCATGTCTCGGTGGGTGAGCACAAACAATTGAAAAAAAGCGGAAAAAAACGCCTATTTTTCTCTGCGTATCTAGCGCTGATGCACAAGAGATACATCAAACTCAAAACTCGATTTAGTTTCATTGTTTTATAGAAAAAAATGCTCAATAAAGAATATTTTACTATAGCGAAGTCCGTTGCTTGCATACGCGCTAGAAACACCGCCGATCTGCATATAGCGCGAACGTTTGTTCCGCGAAAGAATGTCACCACTATGTTCTCCTAGTTAGTAAAAAAAAAAAAGAAAGAAAAGTCTACAAGAAAATGGAAAAACCAACCAGGCGCAACGAGCGAGCGAGCGAGCAGACCAAAGAAGCGACCAAGAGCAATGCTGGGAAAGCGGGAAAGCCGGCGGTCGTGTTGGCAAATACTTTGGCGTCGGGCCAAGTCGGGCGCCTTGTCAATTACAAGCTCTTGCGCAACTTTCTTGTTTGGTGCGTACATACGTGCGTCGGTGCACGGCGGGCTATCAATGCACGGTTGGGACGCTCTGCAAACGTCTACGTTCCAGCAAAGCTTTATTTACGCGTTGGCTTTGCCTAAAATATTGCACAACCGCGGTCGCGACGGGCGGGAAGAAGGAGCGGGTTCGCGGTGACCTTACTTCGGCGGAGACAGACTGACCTAACACTCCGCGGTTACATTAACAAACTCTTATTTTGTTATCTCCATCGTTTTCTTTTCGCACGGATACACAACCACTTCGGGGTCGCTCACGGAGGAAATGCGTAAACAAAAAGAAGTGTCTTTCCCTCCTTCGTTTTACTTTGTCACGGACGTCCTCCAACTGTAAGGTCCGCGGCCGCGTCATTCGGGTAGCATGAGTGTTCACGGATCGCTGAGTCCGCGCTGGGGTATTTGAAGGGGTGGGCGATGACTCGGTGTTTTTTCGGAAATCGATATTGGCCCAAAAAATGGGGTGGGCGATGGCTCGGGGATGGGCGATGACTCGGGATATTACGGTAGTGAAATATTGGTCATAACAAACAGATATTTGGTGCACACTTTTGCTGCTATACTGTCGCACCCACTTATAACAGAGTTGGTTATGATGAAAAAGCGGCTATAGCAGAGGAATTACAATTTCCCATTCCTGTTTGTACTTTTTTAATGTCTATATGTCTGTTTGTAGCAAAGGAAATCGAGCAACTCCAGCAGCGAAGTAACATTTTGGTACAATTGAGAAAATAATTGAATTCAAGAAAGTTTCCACAATGCAAAGTGCTGCACTCTGCTGCCGCGACCAAGCAGTCACCCAGAACGGGCAGCAGACAGTGCTCAAGGGCTATCAGTGGTGGCCTCTGCATTGTCGTCTGCTCCCCGCTTCTTTTTTGGGAGACGGCTTTTCCGCGTGGCACGTGAGGCCATTGTGGCATTGCGATAGGAATGTCCAAGGCGCTAGCTGCACTAGTGACAAATTACCGACGTAGACATCCTAGGTTTAAGAGAGTGAGCAACTCCAACCATGGAGAACATTTGCAATTTAATGGTCGACATCTCCCGGGCAAATTTTCTTTGATGAAATCCACGAGCTTGTTCTCCAGCTCAGGGTGACGACCGTGCTTTGGCCCACATACAACACAGAATGCATTGTATGTTGCTTCGTGGTGATGTTGTACAAAGGAACTCAGTACGCATTTTATGCCTCTACGACACAAAAATTGTCGTGCATAGCGTTTCCGAAAGAGAACCCTAATGTAGCTGGTGTTCAAGTGCAAGTGGAACGGGAAGTTACTATGAGCGTGTGCCGGAGGCAGGATTTCTGCAGATTTTATGTTGCAACAGACTATAGTTAGCTTCTTATAATGTGCTCATGCATACACTCTGCTCACTACACTCGGCTAGCTTCGTTGCGGCTGGTAGATATAGGTAGATGCTTTGGGACAGTAGCGTATAGCGTAGTTAGAAAATTTTTTCATGGAGGGTGGGGGAGAGGGGATGCTGGATCCTTTCGTGTGGGGGGGTTTTGATGCCACTACTTAGTGAGCACCACAATGCAAGTTACCAGTTGGTGGGCTTCTTTCTTGGCTGCTGCCGTGCATGGAGAACCGTACAGAGTGCATTACCTTGTGCATATTGAGTAACTCCATTTAAAGCCACCAGATCAGCTGCGTTTAGAGTGTCGACACTCCATTTCCTAGCACAGAGAGGGTGCAGTTAGTGAAGGTTATGATTCAGTTTTGCGACTTTCTGAGCTTTAGATGCGAATCGGTAAGCTCGGGTGATGTGGTCCTGTTCCGTCACGAACTGCATTAACTTTCCTGGAGGACAGGGAAGTGTTTCCTGCAATTTCAGGTGAAGCTTCGGGCAACCGGCAGCAATGATTTCAAGCGGCAAGATGGCTGAAGTGTCGATTCTCCAAAGCTTAGCTTAGGAACCTGAAATGTTTTTTTGGCAAAGTGCTCGGCATTTCGTGAGGCCTCGACACTGATTGGTTGATGGGTGGGAGAGGAGGAGTGAAGTGCTCAATGCCGATTGGTTAATGTCCGGTCACGTGACCAGAGGGGTAGGTGAAGAGGAGCTCGACCACCTGTGTGCGCCGGGGGAGAGGAGCTATAGAGTATGGAAGGCTCTGGAAGATTGGCAGGTTTATCAGCTTGATTAGCGGTGGTATCGCCTCATTCCAGGAACAACTGTTGAGTGTAAACATGGTATGCATTGAACTATTGAGGATGCTAGAATGTTTCATCCGTGCAACGCAATTGCCTAGCAATTCGCCATAAATTTTTAATGGCCATAACTGTAGCCTCGTCTGGGCCCCAGAAAAGACGCCAACCGGCAACCCTTGTCTCGTTGCAGACCTGTCCGGAGACTCGTTTGTGTCAAGGGAGGAGGTAGGTACCTTTCCCCTCTTTTCTCGCATCTTCAGCAGCAGTTTGTGTCTCGCAGTAGGACAGTGTATTCTTGCGGTCTTTTCAGAGTGTTTTTTGAGCCGTGAGGATCGCCGCATTCTCGCCACTTATTTTATTTTTTCAATAGCTGCACTTTTTTTTGATTATTACATCTTGCTCAGCAAAAACTACAGTTGCAATTGAAGCCCAGTGGGAAAGGGTATCGCGCGTGAAATATGTGCAACGGCGGCAACCAGACAACTGGCAAGCCAGTTGTCTGGTGGCTGCCATTGCTTATGGACGGTGGTAGCTGTTCAGAGTGTTGTGTTGACATTTGTTTGCTGGCAGTCACGATCCTGGAGAAACTAGCCATTAACAGCTCTGCTGTAAAACGGCACAAAAATGAACACAAGGACAAATAGAACACACAAAGAAATGCAGCGCTATGTTTGCCTTTGTCTTCTACTTGTCTTTGTGTTCATTTCTGTGCCGTTTTTATTTCTCTGATCATGCAGTGACTCGCCCATCTTCGCACCTTACCACAGTGTCAGATGAAAATTGACTGCCTCTAAGCCGACTCGGTGACGTCAATGATGACGTCATGGTGCCTTTGACAGATAACAGGCAGTAGAGAGGCTCGCCACATAGTACCTTGCGGCCATTGGTGCACATTTTTTCCAGAATAAAAGCAGCTTACATTTGCTTTTTTTAAATATAAGTGTGATAATTTATTTAGGGGACAAAAGTCTATAGAATGCTGCTCCTAACTCAGTTATTTCGAAAAGTGCCTCAGCTGTTGTTTACTCTTTTGAGTGGAATGCCCGAGCATACTCGGCCGCATTGCTGTGCGGTTTCAGTTTTGGTGTGCTTCCTGCCCTCCCAACTGGGCCGTCGTTTTTTTTTACGTGTAGCGGCAGGCACGAACAAGCGACAAAAACAATGTTTTATCTAGCAATGTCAGTTTTCGGTGGGATGCAATTTTTTGTTTTGTTTAGGCGACTTCTGTTTTGGTATAGGGAGAATCCGTGTTGTTCAACCTTTCGCTTCATGGCGAACACTGAGATCTAGAAATTACCAATACATTCGGTATTCGACGACAGTAGGAATGAATAAACAAGGGGCGATTGAGGCTGATCTAAAGAGTGACCTCAGGATCCAAAGCCGAGGTGCCACTGTGCAGTATCTTGTCTCAAAAAATACAATACGAGAAATATGTTGTAGGTTGGAGGCATGCGGACATCAATTAAATTTTGGCCCGTAAAAAAGTGTGTCTTTTAGAAATAAATATTCTTCACAAAACACGCTACACAGTTTCCGAGACCAAAATTTGCATTCAGCATGCGAAAAAATACCAAAAAAAACTAGGCCCTCAAAGGGTAGGCGATGGTTTTTGGAATCTCGGGAAAGTCCGAACACTTTGCCGTAACGCCCTGCCGAATTCCGGGTGCAGATCAGCCGGGAGGATCCCGACGGCACGTCTTCCCCCGCGGCGCCCGAGAATGCGGCTCCTGAGACTCCCTCCTTCTGGAACATGCCCACGGAGGACCTGACCTTTCTGGAGAAGCGCTACAGTGCCCTCGCTGGTGAGGGTTCTTTCCGGACGGGCCACGCTGCGCAACGTTTGCCCGCAGTGCGGCACCCAAAGCGCGTCTCCGATCGGCGCGCTTACTGCAAGGGTTCCCAGACTTCCTGACCTACCTCATCTCCCTCGACGATGAAGCGAGGAACAACTCCGGGTCTTGGCACAATGCAGTAATGCAGTAAACGAGCCTTCAGACCGTGTGTGCGTACCGGGGTGTGTTTGGCTGCTGGTTACGCATCTAATTCGCTGAGACAGTGTTGTAAAATCAGGAAAACACTTTACTTGGGAGCGGGGTGGCCGAAGATATTCGGGAGTTCGGGGAACGTGTAGGGGTACCTAGCTGTGGAACCGCTATGTTCCTAGGAGCCCGTCCCCAAATGTGGTTCCTCAATTTCTGCCCGTTGATGTCGCATTTGTGTGATGCCGTTGTCTGCCAAAACCCTGGAGGTTGTAGAACAGTCGAGGCGAATACGGTGGGTGCCCGTTCTGCTGTAGGTCACTCTTTGGCTTCATAGTTCTTGGAAGCTTCTACTGTTGGGAGTTTGGGCACTGCAACGACGGTGACACTCACGTTCGCTCGTCTTGTTTGCCGGAACTTCCATGACTAGCCATCAAGATTGCATCATTTGTCGGCGTGACACGTCCTCCGTTCCTGCGACTTAATTTTCATGCCGTTTCGGGACCACTCTCGAAGCGTGGGCGGTTTGAAACACGAAACGCGCCGGTTGAAGGCACATTGCAGGTTTTGTATCCACGGGGAAAACTGGAATGCAGTGTATTGTTTGCGCAAGATCCGAAGGAGTAGTACCAGAATCGTCAGAAACTTTTCCTCGTTGCATTACATTGTAGTGCGACGTGACGACCATTCTGTGTGGTTGAGGAGGAAAACTAGGAGATCCGGGGAAAGCGATGTCACTCCTCGAGACTCGGCACGAGAGCGATGGCGAGGGAGTTGGTCCACTTGTCTCTGCAGGCGGCGTTAGTCGTGCGAGGTATTGCTAGACACTGAAAGCGGTGTTGGTGTGCAACATTCGGATGGGTGCATGCGGTTCGGAAAGACCGGGGTGGTCGACATTGTTTGTTCCGCCCCCCCGTCTTCTTTTTTCTTACTTTTGGCTATGGGGAGAAAAATGTTCTCGTAGGTAGTGTTTTCGGAAACGAGGCTCTTACGACCCATTTGTACAGGAGAGTGCATGGCTCGTGCCGACACGTATCTGCGCTAGGTACAAGCGTCGCTTTTGGTTACGGCAGAAGCGAACCGAGCTTTTTCGTCCCAAGCAAAGCTGAACTGCAGGAATATTCCCCGTCGGTATTTGTATCGCTACCAATAGCGGCATGCTTGCGCAGATGTGCTGACGACACGTGCACCGTCGAGGCGGGGCGCTCACAAATAGCAGTACGACAGCTGGAACTCTCGCAGTCTAAAGGCTGGTTCTCACACTCACGACTGCTTAGAACGGTGTGCCTTGAAACCTCTTAAAATATTTCAAGATGGGAGATCACACTGGCGCCATCTATCAGGTAGTTAGGGAATACAAGGTCCTCTCTTTTTAGAGCACAGCTCTTAGGGGCGTCGGCGTAACCAAGGTCACGCGGCCCCCCAAGGTTATCCCAAGTTCACGTGACCCCCAGAGGTCATGTGACCCCTCCCCCAGGGTCATGTGACCCCCAAGGTTACATGACACCCAAATTCGCGTGACCCCCTCCCCGAAGTCACGTGACACCCCTCCGAGGTCACATGACCACCTCCAGGGTCACGTGACCCCCCGCCGAGGTCACGTGACCTCCCTGATGACGTCATCGTCACTGATGACGTCACCGGCATCGTCATCATCACTGATGACGTCACCGTCATCGTCATCATTGCTGATGACGTCATCGGAGTCCGCATCGTCATCGTCACTGATGACATCATCGGCATTGTCACGTGACCCCCCAAGGTCACTTCACCCCCCCCCCCCCCCCAGTACCCTTCTCTTCTCCTCCTCAAGAGCTGCGCTCTAATTCGTTGTTACAGGGAGTTGTAAACGGCTTTCACTTTTTTGTGCATCATTCTTCCTTTTTTATTACTCTAAAACTTTTTGTGATTGTTATAAACAACCACTCCTCATAGTATATGTACATTTTATCTTGCAAACACCGCAAAACCTTCGCTCTAGTTAAATGCAGTCTCAGGGTCACCGCATAGATATTGAACCCAGACCATTTAGATCATTGAGCGAGGGCAGCAAAAGCTCGCGCTGCAGAACCCAGGGATCTTGGATTTGATTCCCACCCCCGCCCGTTTTAATCTGAATGAGCATCGTACCGGTGTGCGGTCGTGTATCACTACTGCGTGGTGCACATTAAAGACCGCAGGCTAGCGGTCGTACTGCACTGGCGAAATTGTTCATCTACAGCTGAGACACCAGACGCCCACTAACGCAGACTAACTTTTGACTGTATAAACATACGCACACCAATTTTTTATTTATTTTTTGTCTGCAGGAAAGCACTGCAAGGCGTCCGGTCTGTGTCCGGCAGTTGGCAGCTTGACGCCTTGTTGCACATATTTAAAGCCCCGGCTAGTGCCGGTATCTTCATTCCAAAAATTGCTGTTGAGTGTACACGCCACGCATCAAGCCAGGTGCTAAAATAACCGATGAAGAGCGCCGAGAGCGTAGACGGCAGACGTTTCGCGTGCAACACAATTGCGCAGCAATTTGCTATGCATTTCAAAGCAATAGGTGTTATGGGCTCTGTTCACCTCTGGAAGTGATGTCATGTTGTTGATGTAGTAGTTAGTAGTTAATGTTCATAGTTTTAGTTGTCATTGTTGATGTTCTAGTTGGCGATGTAAGGCATTTGTCGTCGATGTTGCCGAATTCTTGAAAAAGATGGCTCGCCGCCTGTGTGAACCGAACCTGGGTCTATTGCGTACAAAGCGGAGCCATTACCGCTGAGCTACCCCACAGCATTAATGACCCACTTTATACTTAAAAGTTTTGTAGTACCCAATGCCCATTGCACGTGCGCTCTGCAAAAAACAAAAAAAAAAAACCCTATAACGAAATGTTGTCATAGCACTGTCAATACCAAGAGCTTGCGCCGGGAGACATGCTGCCACGCGCTTTGGAACAAAAATGGGGCAAAAGCAAAATGAAACAAAAGAAAGGAGTTCAGAACAAAACAGATGTCTATTTTTTTTTGAATGCTTTGTTCATGCACTTTACTACTCTACGGTGTCTGAACCCGATGCCCACCGACTTCGCCGTGACGTGTCGCAGCTGTCGTTGCGACTCTACTCTGGATTAACGCTGGACCGCTCAATTTTTTTGTGCTGTATGTCACGCACACAGTAAGTATCGAGGTTTCAGAGTCTTTTTTAAGTTTGCCTATGGTTTCATATCTGGATGGATGTATACTAATGACTTTACATTTTATAACGGGCAGTAGCTTGCACTACTTACCTAAAAAAAAAAGAAAGTTAAAAAAAATTATTTTTCTTTTTCCTCCCATCCTAAGCCATTGCACACAAGGTCGTGGGAGTGATCGCCTGGAAGACCTTTGTGGGATCGGTCAAAAAAAACTAAAAACAGCACCCCCTGCCTCACCCTCTTCGGCAAGGGAGTTGCCAGTTTCCCGGCGGTCGAACCTTGTCGGCATCACCCCAACACCAGATCTAGTGGGTTACAGGGTCGAGACTTCTGGCCGAGTTTCACTTACGACGAGACTTCACTCGACGAAACAAAAACTAGGAGGGCGACATTGCATTTGCTTTAATTATCTTTTTAACTGTAAGAAGTTCCAGTATTGATCCTATAATTACCCTAAAAGGACCGTGAAATGGAAGCCGGGGACTGTTGGCTGCAGTCACTTTTGATATTGATTTTCTTGCTCTACTTCCGAGTCCGAGATCTTCTCTGTGCCTGGCTTCCAGCAAGCGCGGCCGCAGCCACTGACAGGATGAGGACGGCAGGGTGGCGCTTTTGGATGCTCTGCCTCTTGTGCATGCTCCTGCTTCCCACTACGCTTTGGCAGAGTGTGCACGCTCGAAGGCCACGAAATGCCGAAGTGTTATGCTGGATTATCTGTCAGTAGCTGTACGTGAATTATTTCTCACCTGGAGATAATTTTTTCTTCGTTTAATTACCGGCAACAAACGCGCTAATGGCTGCTGCGACACTTGACCCCTGTTTGCAGCTCCAGCCACAAGGCAGCCGGTGCTCCAGAGCCAGCCGGAGGAACCCGGGGCGGAGGGCGACGTTGCCGTGCCGGCCAAACCCAAGAAGCACAGGCACAAGTCTAAGAAGGTTTGTGCGCGCCGACTCTGGCTCATCTTATTTGAAAGTTGTAATGACAACGTCAGCGCTCGAAGCATAGCGCGACGATGGAGTGCCAACTGCGTACAAAAACGGGGAAAATATTTAATTGCATACAAAGCAACCCACTTATAACGATAATGAGAAAGCCCGGAATTCGAATCGTTATAACTGATTATCGTTGTATCTGGACTAGAAACTGATCATTGCCAGTCTAGAAACTCTAGAAACTGTTTATTATAAGCGGTACATTGTTATATGTGGTATTGTTATAGGGAGGATTCACTTGCGGCCATAGCTGTGTGCGCAGTTGCTGAGCGCGTGCTGATGGCAAGCTTCCACAGTTATTTTTCAACGTGCAATCCACACCGTCAAGCTCGCCGGTCTTAGCACCCGATTAGTATGAGCTCCTTCTGAGCATGCGCTCTAAACAGCACCCACAAATATGGCGTCCAGTGAATAGCCTCTATAAGTGGGTTGCACTGTATTACCACTGCGATTTGGCTTCGCGACAGTTCAGTGACAGTTCACAACTTTCTGGTACTACACTAGTCTTAACCGCCCGCATGATTTCACTGTCCGAAAGTGAACTGCGGACAATGGCCGTTTGTCTACTTCATTGAGCCTAGCTTTGTTGACCGTGCGAGCCGTGCAGCCACAATGGTCATATCTTCCTGAGGTAAAACTCAATGGACAATGTTGCTATGCCAACCTGTCCTTGGCTTGGCAGCCTGGCTGGCTTGGCTGAACTGTTCGCTCCTTTTCAGAAAACGGCAATGAATAATGACTCTGCAGGTGTCATCCATTTCGAGCTTGGGTTTCTGCAGTTGTGGTTTAACTGGGTCCCAAAGTTACCGTAGCCTTTAAATTATTGCGCAACCTTTTCTATAGCATTGCACATACAATTGCTGGAACCATACCCATACTGAAGTTAGCTGCACTTGAAACTAAATTTAAGAGTTGACTGTACAGTTGAGTCCGGCTACAATGAAATTCATGGGACACAGGAAGCATTTGTTGTCGCGGGATCTTCATTGTCGTGAAACAGGAAAACAGCATCGAGATATTAGTTGCTGCAACACATGAACATTACAGAAAAATTGGCTTCATGTTGGGCTATTTTAGCAAATGCTGCGGTAGTTTTATGGAGTCATCGTTGGCAAAACGTGTCATGAAACTAAATAAAATAATACTTTAATGTTCCACAAGTCTTTCAACCTTAGGATTGTTACTGTGGTGATTACGCAATTTCACTGTACGCAAATGCAGTGTGGCGATTGTTGGTGGCATTGCAGTGGCTATCGTGGTTGTTGCTGTTTTTGTTGTTCTTGACGGTGTTGCTGCTGTCTTCTGCAATGGGCGTTATACAGGGCAGCGGTTTATGTACCGAGAAGTACGCTACAAAGTCCGTGCGGCATTGTCTGGGAACGCCTCGCACCAAGATGCAAGCGATGGTGGTCGTGTTTGCTCCCTGGTTCAGTCCCTGGCGCCAATTGCAGTTTTTTTATTGTTTAGCGGTCACGGACTGACCGACCTACACATTTCGCTTTACGCAGCTCCTGAGGTTGCTTGGCCATATAAAGCAACAGCATTAATAAATCAATCCGTCCAAACTGTTTGCATTTTTTAAAGTGATAGCTTTAAGGAGCTCGTGTCGCAGAAAAGCGGGCATCGATGAGACGGGAAAATCCTGATTGGTCGATAGGGTCACGACGTCGCAGCCACATGACCTCGTGCAGGAAATTCAAACAACACTCGTGATATCACACGTGGAATGAAAGTGATTAAAATATGCCATGTAATGCGAATTAAAGGTCGCCGCATGTCTTAAATGATTTGATTTCATAAAGTAATCCATTTGCCTTAAGAAAAAATTTGAAAAATTTTAGGCAGAGGCGATACTCAAAGCCACGACCCTTCGGTTGACACGCTTGCACGGCTTGGGAATAAGCAAGCTTAAGCGTCCTCCTGTAGTTGTCTTTACGAGTGATAACATTTTTGTCGATATCAATGCCAACAAGGATGTGCCGAAATTGTCCATGATATTTGTGTTTTTTTCAGTTGTGCCCTGGAACCAATGCACTTTTTAGCCTTTAATTGTTCTTATAATTCTTATTCCTCATTGTTTTTTGAGGATAATAAAAGAAAATACAAAATGGGCATTTTTCCACAAACGTGTAGAACGATTCCCGATTCGCTGATAGACAGTATCAGCAACTCGGAAGCAGTTTTGTTGGCATTCTAACAAGCCACACATTACATGCTTCTCAGAGTTATTCAGATACCATAGAGATGTGCCAAAATTTTACTTAACTTTTAAAGTACTATGTTGGACTTACGGGTCGCGGTTAGGTCATTTCTCGAGTTGCTCTTTTGTCACAAAGAAAACAAAGGTTAAGCCCACGGCTGTCCCGCAGGAGGACAAGGAGCGCAGCCAGAAGCACCGCAAGGAGGGGTCCTTCTCCAAGGGCACGGAGGATGCCGAACGCAAGCCCAAGAAGAAGTCTCAGCGCAAGCAGCGCGCCAAGCCCTCTGCCGACGACAGTTCTTCGGACGCAGAGCGGCTGGAAGCCTTCCTGGGCGCAGCGGACGCCCCCGGGTTGGAGAGAGCGGCAGAGGCCTACGAGTCCCTCTGAGACGTCGCCGGCGAGTCTCGAGCGGAGGCCGTCGCCGCCGCTGCGGTTCCCGGGACGCGTCTCCGACCGGTGCGTTTACCGCATCCTCGAAAGCAGCCTCTCGACTTCCGCCCGACTGCGTCGCAGAGGCGTCATGCCGTCGCCGCCATGTTCCCGGCGCTTCCGCAAGACCACTTTCGATGCACAGGCGGGATGGGACGCCAAACACGCCGGTCAGAGACACGTTCCAGGCAATGCAACACTGCCGAGAGGGCGGACACGGCTGCGTCCTCGTGCGATGGTCTGACGTCGACTCTGCAGCCAAACGGGGGACGAGATTCCATCTCCGAAAGGGACACTACGCCACGCGTTTGTCGACCGTTTGCCCGAATCGCCGAGCCCTGGAAGCCTTTTTTGTTTTTCCCATTGCTTCGCAGAAGCGAGGGCAACGGGCCAGCGCACGGCGGAAGTGGCGGCGAGACGACTGTGGATGCTCGGGACATGGGGCGTTGGTGCCACTGTATGAAGCCAATTGGTACGAGTCAGCCGTTCTGACCTATTATGTTTCCGTCGCCGGAAGAGATGGCGAGATGGGCGTTCCATGGGATGGTCTGGGCAGACAGTGGGCAACTCAAGATTGTGTTGGAAAGAAAATGTCTGTAGCACTTTGTGCGTGAGCGAAGCGGAAGCTACGAGGGCAAGCTTAGTGCTTTCGACGTCCCTTTCGAGCACATGTGTTTGTGCGGTGCGGTTCGGGGCAGCTTGCTCGCGTTTGTAGCTTTGGCTTTGCTCGCACGAAGTGAAGCCATCTATAGCGGTTGGTAAAGGAATCTAAACACGGTAGAGCAGCTCAAGGCATACCTCATTAGTGTCCGTCATTTGAGAGTGCACGCATCGGCAATCGTCCCATTCCACGACTACGATGGCTATCCATCACTGACATTGCAGTAAACTCTCGCTCGTCAAGTTCTGAATTCTCAACAAAGAAATTTATGCAGATTTTTGCTACAGCGAACTTGGCTTTCCAGAGAAGATAAGCCCTATGCAGCGAGATTTTACTGCAACGGTAATGACTGTATTGGTTTTCGATGTACTGTTATTGATCGTTAGCGTGTCCGCTGTGTTTTCTCGGAGCACGTGTAGCTGCACAATTTAAGAGTGCTCGCAGGTTTACTTTTCTATTTGCATACAGTATGTTGTTTATTGTTGGTCTGCATGAAATGGAAATGTGTGAAAGGGTACAAAGTTGAACTTTGGGTGGTTACGTTTCCTTGTTCCTCTATAACTGAAGACAGCCGCAGTTGGAATTTGTGTCTAGATGAGCACGATAATAGAGTCCTTGAGCTCCGCATGTCCAGGTGGTTCTATGGTCCCTGCATGAAATGTGGTTGCATTTCGCGATAGACTATAGAACTCGAATCTTATCGAACTGTGAAGATTAAAAAATGTGAATGTTTCCATTTATAGTTATAGCAATATATTTTTTTATGGATGGATCTGGTTTAGTTGGACGCAAAGAGAAGTTAATTTATTCTGTTGTGGTTGCACTCATTCTTTACCTCGTGTAAGGGGTTGGCATCCTCTGTTGCACCCTTGGCTCAATTCCTTCAAAAGGTAGCAAAAAAGGGAAGGAACTTGTGAGCTCCGAACAAAACACATTTGTAAAAGGATGCACAAACCTTTCTGTGCTCAATAACAGAGGAAACAACCAAAAGCCCTGTAAAACAGACTTTGTTCCCTGCACCCTTAGTGCTTTCATCTAGACAGTCATCTCCCCTTGATATGGCCCAACTGTTTCTCGGAACTAATGGGATGCACCTAACTGCATGCCACTGATCATAGATATGCAGTCCAAACTGATTCGAATGGAATGAGCTGAGTCATTCCTCACCTTCACAATGTGAAGATGACGCCAGGAATGCCACCTGCCCCTGCATTGCAAGATCTGCGGTTGACACTGAAATATTCGACTAAGCTTTTGCTGAACTTAACCGAGCGAACATTGCTGTCGGCATCTGAAGAAAGTTCGGCAAGTTGTTCCCTCCAAGCGGTGTAACCCTCTTCTCCACAAGCATGTTTAGCTTTTTCTTGCTTCCAGCCTTCAATCTCTCACTGTCCCTTTAGCTCCTTTTTTCTGTCAAGCTGTCATTGGCAAAGAGGGCATAGTAAAATGACCAGACTATAAAATGGATGCCGCAAGAAAGCGTCGTTTTGGTTCAGCCTCGTCAGGTGCATTCTTGTTTCTTTTTAAATTTACATGGGCAATAACCAACGGAGCATGCATTCTAATGCTTCAAATTTGAAAGCTAAAACGTCTCCGGTTCTTAAGAAATAAAATATCAAATAAGCACAGCATATGCTGGCAGATTTTCGGCAAGTGTTGATTGTAACAGGTTCCCTTCTTTTTTCTATTGTATTCTAAACCAAAATGTTATATTGCATTAAAAAAAACACTTCATTACTGTAAGAATTTTGTGCAAATACTCGGAGGCTTGAATCTAGGGGGCGGTCCTTCCAGCATAGTAAATGTCTTCAGGAAGCAATGTATTTTTCCTCATTCCTTTTTTTTGTTTGCTCTAAAACTCAACCACGCTATGCCACTCACTAAATTCACAGCCCTTTCTCGGATACCGAATTAGGCCGAAAACATCCAGCAGTTTTACTAAAGTTATCAGCCATGCCAAACTATGAAGCACGTATTCCCAGCACCGCGGGTAACACAGCTGGAGCGAGAGGCGCGTTGACACCACACGACACAGCACAGCCTCGTCATTGGCCAACTGCAGCTGGTGCTGTCTGCTGTTTTCAAAACACTTTTCAATGCCAAAGGTTTGACTACAGCAAGAAAGTATTCCATGCTTTCAAGGGCCGATTAAAAGAAAAGAGAGGAAGGGCTAATTTAGTTTGCAAGAACTGTATTGTGCAAATGGAGTCTATAAGGATGGGCAACCTCTTGGGGCCATGCGGCTACCAATTCCGCGGCCAGTCGAACCGTACAACAGATCTTGCTTTAGTAGCGGGGTATTTTAGAGTATCCACAATCATACTTGTCACCAGGGTAATGACTTGGAGGCATCTGTTACAAGATACAAGCAGCATTCCTGGATTCATTTTAAACCGGATTCCGGATATTTGGCAAGATCGGAGCACCACGAGAGGCTGCCCTGTTTCTCTTGCGAAATTGTTCCATGGAAAACAAACGCCTACAGGACAAGTCGTCGGTGCTCGCAAGAACGCTATCTCGTGTGCAGTGGTGTTGGTGCATCTTTTTAGGATTGTTCACACGAGCAACTTTCACTAGCCCAAGTGTGCCAAAGCAAGATTCCTTTTGCCCCGTGTGTGCATGCAGGTTTTGTTACTTTCTGCGAGATTCAGCTGTACAACATTAAAGGATATACTTCTAATTTAATGCATGGTTTGATGTCATTTACAGCTCGTTTCACGATGGCGAATTAAAGGGCTCGCAACGAAGGCACGAAAAATCTTCTGGCTCAGTTGTGTTGTCAGTGAATAAATGATATCCAACTGAAATGGTTGTGCCTGACAGTTTAAACATGAATGTTGTCTTTCTTCCTTAAACTGGAACCAATGGTAGTTTTTGCCTGGAACGCTGCGACAAAAATTTGCTTTCAACGTAGACTGCCGCTTTAGCCCCACAGGCCTGCTTTATTACGGGAGCGACATCAATGCCTGCTTACTTTCAGGGTTTGCAGATTTGTTTTTGCTGCAATGATGTCGGTAATCCAATCCAATAGCGTGGGCAGTGTTCTGCGTCTAGATAAATATATTCCTCCTGCAAGGCTTGGGTTTCTGCTGTTTAAAGACAACTGCAATTCTTTTTTCTTTTTTTTTGATTCCAGAAAATGGTTTCCCGAAAATTGAATGTGCAAATTAATATAACCGTGAGATACTGAGCAAATGCCCACTCGAAATTTGAAGATAGTCGCAAGAATATAGAAGATGGGCCTATGTGAGGTCACATATTTTACATATATATGTACTGGCCATATTTTTTCAGATGCTTCAAATTTTGGGGGTGTGCACTTTAAATGGATGGATGCACAGTATTCTGCGGTAGGTTCTTTAACGAGAAAGACAAGGAAAAAAAAGTTAAAATTCAGAAAAGCTCGGCATCACGCCAATCTCCTGTAGAGGTAATTGTAGCGACAATCTAAAGTTCTAAATTGACAGACTCTAAGGGGGGACATGGGCCTAAATTTCAAATATTTTTGAAAAAATTCATTTTTCAGTTTTGAGGTTTTCGGTTTTAGAAACTAATTATACACCCTTACACCAAATTTGATAACCATACGCCAAATAGTTGCGTTGATATAAAATATTTTCAACACATTGTGAGGCAGTAACAAAGTAGAGAAGTTCAATGTTTGAATGCATTTTTCTCAGTTCTAGTTTTTGCTGCAAATTTCATATGAAGAAATCTTGTTCGAAGGTAAAAGTATTCTGATACCACAATCAAGATGTTTCTGAACTGAAATTTACTGGGGAATCGGGCTATCTACTTTATTTTGTTTTAAGTTGAAGCCCTCAGTGATAAAAAACTAAGTTTTCAAAAATTGACACAGGGTAGAAAATGCTTTTTATTTTTTGAGGTAACAACTCTTCCTGAAATATTTACATTTGAGTTATAAAAACTAGATAGCCCGAAGTGCCACATCCCCCACTTTATATTCAAGCAGTCAAAATGGTGCTTAATAGCTTCATTTGCATATCAGATTTCTTAACAAAAAGTGACATATCATCTTATGCACGTATGTAGATTTGACCTAGGGAGCTGAAAGTTTGCACAGTACACCTATGTCTGAAGTTAAATATCCCCTGCAAATTTCATTTTAATCACTTCAGTAGTTCGACCTCTAGCCAGTGTCCCCTGCAATGGTGATTGTCTGCACATATCCTAAACGCCGCACGTTTTGACGTGGAACCATTGCCTCCATGTTTGTCAATACGATTTCCTAGCATGCACGACAGATTACAATACAGTTGAACCTCGATTTAACGAAGTGACTGGGACCCGCTAATTATTTCGTTAAATCGGGATCTTCGTAAAATCCAGGAAGGGAGACTTCGCGCTTAGGCTGTGCGAGGAATCTGAATTTGTTCATTAAATCGGGAAATTCGTAAAATTGGGTTTCGTTAAATCGAGGTTCAACTGTACATCCATTAGCACTACAGAAACAAACTGCGATTGCAGCATCTCGAGCCAGTGCGCGTCCACTCGCGCCAGTGCCCGAAATTGTTTTCTACGGTCGCAGACTGGATGGGAACGACAGAGAAGCCTTTCGGTTGTCCCGCCCTTTCGACGTTTCGTAAGCTCAGAGTCTGCGTGCACAGGGGGGGCAGGGCACCTAAAGGATTCTTGGTAGGCACACTCTGTTTCACGAACGTCTACGGTGCGAACAAAGGCGCTGGTTCTCGTTAGCACAAGAACTAGCGCATGGAAGGCTTTATCGAAAGCCACGCGCTCGCGCCCGTACCTTCGTCGGCACTGCAGATGTTTGCGAGATCGACTGTACCGGTTCCACACACGAGCAGTCTCCATTCAAAACGTGGAGAATGCAGAAAATCCTCGCCGCAGATGGAAGGCATTTTTGATTGCGAGCAACGAGCAAACGTCGACCTTTCTCAACACCTGGCTAAAAACTACCACTTCCCCAATCGGCGTGCACGGTAAGAAAGTGGGCGACAATCCCACAAACGGCTCGAGACTGTTTGTGAAGGAGCTTAGGCTCCCACGGGAAACGACTCGCCTGGAACAAGGTCTTCCGTGAAGCCACTACACGGGCGTCTCGCCTCCCAGGCGCTGCACTACGCTGGCCCCCTGAACTGACAGAGCGGTGGAAGCTATGTGCTTCGCTGGGCCGGTCGCGTCTGTTTTGCCACATGATCGCGCCCCGCCCACACCTGCGTGCGGAGAACGGGGTCAGGCGACGAGGGGGAGGCATTCAATCGGTTCGGCGAGCCCCTAGCTTCCACCGCTCCGACGGCTCGGGGGTGAACAGAGCATAGAGTACAGTCTATGCAGTCCCAACACAGTACAAAGAGCCCGTGGCATAGCAAGGTTGTCTTTTTTTTTTATTAGCAATATCACTCGCGAAGTGCCAACCAGTTTTCTTCTACGAGGTGAAGGGTAACACTCGGGACATCCAACCTCGTTCCGTTTCTCGTTCCTTGAAGTACAATTTTCGTTCTTCTAATCCCACCTCCCCACTCTTTCGAGGAAACCGAAGAGGAACGCCTACACCTTGCCGCGTGGGGATGCTACCGCCTGGTTAATGCTTTCTCCTCTCGCGTCGACGGATCTCTAGTGGCAGACGGCACCGGACGTCGCCCAAGGGGCCCACACCCTCCTCGACCTCCGATTGCCGCCGCCGACAAAGGCTACCGCTTAAAAGTTTGTACCCGGTTTGTCACGACGGAAAAGAAAAGAGGGCGGGACTCGTGGAAAGGAATAATACTAATAAAAAAGGGTATCACATTCAAACAAACTCGACAAGCGAAAAGACACGCTTCGTTGAGACTTCGGCCTTCTTCGACGACTGGGTGGGGGGGAAACGAAAGCGCAAAGCCCTATTTTACAGCGAGCCGCCGTCGACCGCCGAAAAGCGAGAAATGCCGGCAGAGAGAGCAGACTACGGCTATTCGCTCCCGAGCTCTGGTTTAATAAATCGCGGTCGGCCTTCAAAGACGAACCTTGGAGGAACGCTCGTAGGTAGGAACCGGCGGCCGTTTCCGAATCTCTGCACTTTTTCTTCCGCGGCGAAGATGCGACCGACGCGACGAGCGACGTGTTGCGACGGTAAGGAATGTCTGGTACAGGCTACCCAAGAGTCCGGGCCCTCTTCCGGCAGCTCTGAAGAACGTGCACGGTTTACCGGTGGACAAAAGCGAACGAGAAGAGCCGGAAAAAATTGACCGAGCGACCTCTCGTTCCGACGTCCCCGCGCCGTGCCTCGCACTTCGAGGTAATGTGCTTGGGGAACGGGTCTTGCCTCTTTGGAAACCACGCATTTGTTGCCGGTGTTACGAGAAACGTTACCATAATAAAAGAAAAACAAAAATATATATAGAGAGCATCACTGCCATTTTCCAAACTCCTTTCCCTGCCCCCATTCTTCCATGGTGTGTCACCGAAAAGTCCGTTTCCTCTGTCGTTGGGTTGACTCCGGGGCTGTGGCAGCACCTCGCACTGAAACGGTGAACGAGGCATGAGTCCACAACTATGTCGTCGGCTTTTTTCAAATTCCGCTATGTCATCAGCTTTCCCCTAAACGATTTCCACTGTATCATCAGCTTTTTCCCAAATAACTTCCACTGTCATTAGCTTTTTTCCAGAGAAACCCTTAGTTACCAGCTTTTCCCCAAACAACTTCTGCTGTCATCAGGTTTTCCCAAATGCCACTGCACTGCAATCCACTTAAAACAATAACGAGAAAATTCAATCGTTATAACTGATTACCATTGTACCTGGACAAGAAACTGATTGTTTCTAGCCTAGAAACTTTAGAAACTGAATGTTATAAGCAATACATCATTATATGTGGTACTGGTGGATTGCACTGTATATGTCATCAGCTTTTCTAGAAAAAATTCCACAATGTCATTAGCTTTTCCCCTAAAAATTGCACTATGTCGCCAGCTTTCACCAAATAACTTGCGCTATGTCATCAGCTTTTCCCCAAACAATATCAGCTATACCATCTGCTCTCCCCCGAACAATTTCCGCTACATCATCCATTTTCCCCAAACAATATCTATGTCGTCCATTTGTCCCCAAACAACTTCCGCAAACGAAGAGGTACTGCAATTGGAGGTAAAAGCTAATTTATAATCAATTTAATTGCCATACTATAGCGTTATCTGACATTCATTCCTAAGCGGCTAGAAATAGAAGTAGCATATGGCACTTTGAAAGGGAGATCCTGGTCTTGAACATTCTTTTGTCGTTCCTGATCTAATTTCTAATAAATTTTCATATCTACTCTTAATACCTTCATCAAAAATATGTGGCACAAAGTATGTCAGCATGCTCTACAAGCAGCAGAAAGTGCAACAAAAAAATTGTTTTAATTTTAGCATCAGTCTAAAAAAAAATATTACGAGTTGAAATTTTCTTGCTGATAATCTGAAACATGTTTTAAGTAAATTAAAAAATGTTGTAGTTAACATTTTTAACCCATTCACTACCGGGCTGTCTGTACCCGTCTGTTTTTCCCCTTAAACAGGGCCACACTGGACATGACTGTTTTGCTTGTATAATAAGCTTTTACAGTAAAACTCGGTGCAGAAAACAAGGAAACATGTTTATTTACATGCTTAAAGGCCGCTATACAAACGGGACGTTCTGCAGGGAAGAACCTTCTCTCCCGAAGCTGGGGGACGGGGAGGGAAAGGGCCAGCATTGGATGGAAAGAGCGTCTAGAGAATGGGATTAGCCTCGGGGCGAGCCATCCTCTTGAGAGGGAGTGGGGACGGAACAAAGCTGCCGTGGGGGTTGCGGCTACCAGGTGGAAGAAAGATAAGCTTGTCAAACGGCGACCTCGGATGCGAGGACGGGCACTGCTTGATTAGCTGGACGACCCAGTGCGGTCTACTGGCTCTAGAAGGTGACTCGGATGAAGAAAAGCCGTTTTGCTTCAAAACTCTAAAAGTATTGTAGAACAAGAACTCTTGCCACAAATAAAAATAACACATGCATGAAAAACTACGAAGGCACCTAAGCTTTCTCCTATGATGTGAGAATGCGTGAGCATTACAGGCAGAGCTATGTTGGTGCAACTTGCAAAAAAGAAAGAAAAAAAAAAGTTATGTTGGCGCAACGGATAGCGCGCTAGTTTCACGATCAAGATGGCCTAGCTTCGAAACCGGGCAGGGGATGTTATTTTTCTCGTGTTCTTTTTTTTATTTCGTTTATTATTATTTTTTTTTTTTGGTTCGGTAACGTGACAAGAAAAATCACATGAACAGAAATTTTTTTTTGGCCACGTCACCAGATTTTTTTTTCTTATATCTCCTTTTCTTGCCTTTTTTTTTTCCTTTTTTTTTTGTTCACGCTCCTTTTCGCAAAACTCTTCGCACCTATTTCGCGTTACTTAGGCGTTAGCCAAATCATTTTATTTATGGCAGGGAATTCTGCCGTACGTATCTTATGTTACTATTACCAACCCTGGCTTGCAATTCGCATAGAGAATTTCGTCCGGCAACCAGTTTGGGAATGACTAGGCCAAAGTTCTTATAATTTTTTTGAGGTAAAAGCATAATTTCGGCCTCGTTATCCGTCGGTCTCTATGATTGGCTCTTCAAGTATCTTTTGGGAAGGTAGACGACAGGCATTTTTAGAGAGCACGTGTGTTGACCAGAGTGAACATTGCTGAAGCGCCTCCAGTGTGATTTTGGCCATGAATAACTGGAGGTCCCGGGCAAACCCACCTAATGTAGAAAAGTATCTACCTTTCTGGTTTCATAGAGAGCTATAAAAGCCAGAAGGGACAAATCCCAGCCGAGTCAAACTACCGGCTTGCAAACGCAATCGTGTTGATAATAGCGCAAAGGAGTTTGTATGACTCTCTTGGCGGTGTACAGAGGGTAAAGGAACGTAGGTAATATATGCTTTTGGCTAGTCACCTCACGAACGGTTGGGAATTGGCTGCAGATATCCATTTCGCTTTGTTTTATTACCGGGATTATATCTTGATTTCTGTGTTCCTAATCTCACAGACAAAACGAAATCGCTTTTCTCGTGTGGCGTCACGGCGGGGAGACAGAAATCAATCAGTGTACCGAAATTCGACGCTTGTGCTCGTTTTATAGCGCTTTTTAAAACTGTGCGATCACGACTGTGCAACGTCAACATTGCATAAACTGCCGTTACTTACTCGTATTGCATCGTGAGGGAACGAATGCGATAGTATTGCATTCACTCAACCAGCTATACGAGTTTTCAGATCCTTCCAGGTATGCGATTCGTGTTCTGCGAGTGGTACCTCAGCTAAATTAAAAAGCAAAATCCACGTTAAGAAAAAAAAAAAGAAAGAAAAAAAGCTTTACGGTGACTCGAGCCACTCCTGCGCCGAATCATGTTTCACGTAAGCGTAATCTTGGGTTCGATGCACGACGAGGGGTCTTCAGTCATAAAAATATTTTGATTACGATTATTTGCAGCGCTAAAAATTTGAAAGCCAAGCAGTGAAGACAACGGTGTTCTTAAAAATATTATATACATTTTATTTTACACTGTTTGAACACGCTGCCGTCGTTATGTTTTTGAATTATTGGCTAGCTTGTGGCGGACAGGGAGGTCTTGCAGGACCATATGATAGGAGGACCTACACTAAACCTGCCGCGCTTCGAAAAATGTTAGTCCAATGCATACAAGCTTGTTCAAGGCGGACGGAGCGTTGCGCATCCGACAAAGTGCATTCGGTCGCTGCCCGCAGCGTGTTTTTTTTTTTGAGCAGCGAAATAATTTTTAGTTAAGCAGCAGTCCCCCTCTTCGGCGGGTTAAGCCGGATTAATGGAGGCGTCTCCTAATCCATTCTCCGTGTTGGCCCCTCGGAGGAGGGCGGTAAACAGGTGGCAGAGGGCGGTGAAGGGAGGAAAGAAGGGCAGGAGAGGAGGAAACGCAAAAAAGTGGAAAGCGCGAACTGTACGGCGGCCTTTAAGTGGTTCGATCAAGTCTTTAAATCAATAGGCCCTCGCAGATTCTTTCTAGTATGAAAGGTCTCGAAGCACTCCATCCTCGGTCGCTTAGGCGTCACACAACCAGTGTGCTCTTGTCATGATTCGGACTCTGAACTGCTGTCGGAACCGCTCCCGTCGTCGACAGAAGGCTCCGAAAACTCACTATCCTCACCAGACGTCCCGTCATCATCGCTGTCAACGAAGACATCTATGATTTCATTGTCAGAAAAGCCACACCATACACTGGATGCTGCCATCTTCTCCCAGCAGGCAGCGATCGAGCGGGAAAGACGACACACAAAAGAACAAGCTCAAACAAACAACGAACAGAACGACCTTTGCCATCTGTTGGCAATGTACCTAAATACACTACCCCAAGTCTACATGGCACGCCACCTATGAATGGCTCTTTAAAACAAATTCATGCAGACCGGCGAATCGCCGGCCTTGGCAATATGGTCCCCGATGGCTTGCCCAGCGATTCGCCGGCTTTGGTAGCGAGTGGGTTAAAAAATAGTAGTCTTGTTGCACTCACTGACTGATTTATGAGGTGTTAAACCCTGAAAAATGTATTAGGTCCAAATTTTAGATCCTAAGATACCGTGGGCCAAACTTTGTTGTGACGAAAAAAAAGAATTTTGAGAAAACAGGAGCTTTTCAAAACATGCTTAAGAACATACATGGGTAAATTACTTTCAAAATGTAATTTAATTACAATTACTTAGCTTCCAAAGTAGTTTAACTACAATTACAATTACTACTACGCAAAAGTAGTTCATTGCAATTACAAATTACTTTTTAAAAATAATGCAATTACTTTACAATTACTTATTTCTGAGATTTACCCACCTTGGGCCATACAACTGTAAACGAGTTATATGGCCGCTGTATAAATGTATGCATTCTACTTTCCTTTTATGAAATTTGTTAAATGGATTATAGAACTTAATAGTTTGGAGTAATGAACTCCTGCGTTCTTATATTCTCAAAAAATAGAAAAATAAATGGCGACAAAATCCACAGGGGCGAGTTGAATCTCAGAGCTTATGCAAATGGTATCCAAGTCAAACCAACAAAAAATAAACTTAAAATAATACAAGGAAACAAATATGCGACAGTACTGGTATCATAAAACTCACGTAAAAATGGCTAATAAGAGATACTTGTAAATGACGTCAAACATTTAAATATACGACAACTTACGAAAACATTTCAGCCACGATGATTCGCTGCCTCTCCCTATCTGTGGACTTGTAACATGCCGGATGTGGGTAACCGTAGCACGCGAACTGTGGTCCCTTCCACAAAACTAGTGTTGCAATAGCAGCAACTCTATGGCCAGGGATTCTGGGTTAATTCAGTGCACGGTAACACCCGAAAAAATCTCCTGAGGTAGATAATAAATTTAGGATCGTCATGTAATCAATCATTAGGATAGCAATGACTGTATCGATGTTATGCGTCTCATAAAAAAAGACCGATTTGAATTTAGCATGGCAAGAACAACCTCGAAAAATTATGACACACTGTAAACGACTTTATTTTCGCGAATTTCGCGAATCGCCTACAATTCGCGAAAAATAAGTCCCGCGAGCAATTCCGGTTTTTTGTAAACACATTGGAATCTATATTGCGACCCCACCGCGTCGCGAAAATTAGAATTCACGAATTATTCCAAAACTGCGGCCTCTTAGACGCCTCGATTTCATGAGTTACTTGAGCGTGTTTCAGCTGGAAGATATAGACGAACCATTATTATTTTTTTTTATAACTAAGTATGCTTGAAAGTGACAAAAAAGTTGCCTACCTACAAATGTTTCCTTCCGCAAATTGGAGGTCGCCTTTCAGTTTGTTGAATTTGCTTTCAGAGACGGTGCGGAGAGTTTGCACCTCACGATTATATTTTTTACAATGCTGCTAATATGTTTAAAGAATTTTTGTAACAATGCCCCGGCAGCCTTTCCTTTTCCATTGTAGATAAGACTGTCGCAGGTTCTCAATGCAAAGCAGCAGTGCGCGCCTCGGGACGGTTCCACAGGCCAGGACGAGAGGACAACGCGTGGAGGGTCACGATAGAGGTGTAAAAGCAAAGTGCCAAGCCAAGCCCTCTATATATAAAAAAGAAGCCTTCAACGAACAACAAATGTAAAAACAAGCACCCTACAGTCTAAGGCCGCGGTTTGTAAGTTTTGGAATCCCATCCAATCAGGCTGACAAACGGTTGAAAGGGTTAGGTAGAGCGAACACTAAATAATGAAGATTTATACAAAAAGGTAGACGAGGATTGGGAGAAGCAAGAGCAGTGTAGCAACAACAGTTGGAAGTAAGGCCTGCAGGGTGAGTCGTGTTAATGAGACCTGCTGCTTCTTTGCTTCTTCGCCTCGTTGTTAAAAAGTAGCACGACTTACTGTTAGTGGTACCAACATACGAGATAGAGGAGAAGGGCGTGAAAAACTCATAAAGAAAAGAGAATAATTTCATGAACAAAAAAGACCCCACCCTTGACTGAAATATGTAAGCGAATATGCTAGCGACGAAGACGCGTAAGGAGAACCTCGAACCTCCCCGCCTCGACGCGATGATGTGATCGGAGCCAACCAGCTCGACTTCGACCCTCGATGCCCCCGTGTGGGAATGAGAAATAAGAAAGACCCCTAGAAACAGGAGAAACAGGAAGCGAACGAGACGAAGAGTCAGATCCAACTACGACAGGAACGAAAACGGACGCAAATGTAGCCCTCATTTATCAAATTATTTCTCAAATTCTTTATTAAATCGTTTTACAGTCTACAAAATCCTTCATTCCGTTCTATCCCAGCCTCTCTTTCCCATCCGTCTTTTTCCTTTTTTGAGCAGGTTGGGAGACACTCTCTCCCCTGTCGCTTTGGCTGTGCTGTCGTTCCGTGGCCAGGGGGGAAAAACGCCGCCTCCGCAAAATCTTGCAAAAGTAATTGTAATTGTGCCTGAAATTTAGCAATTACTGACGCTAGAAAGTAATTAAATTACAATTACAATTCCTTTTAGCCAAAAGTAATTATTGCAATTACAAATTACCAGGAAAAGTAATTAAATTACAGTAATTCAATTACTGTAATTGAATTACTACCCAAGTATGCTTAAGAACTGCCTCGATATGAAATTTTGAATCAATGTAACTGTATAAATCTGCACTTCCTGAGCGCAGTACTTGCAATACATGGTGTTTGCGACTTATAGTTTAAAAAAAAAAAAATGTCCTAAAAATTACTTAATTTTTTTTTAATTTTTGTGTTTGAAGAGTAGGGTCTCCTCTTAACAGCAATTTAATAACTAATGAATGGATGGCCTGTGACAGTATTCGAGGACGATGCTGACGTTTTTTTCAGCTCTTGCTTCCAAATCGTCTTTCTGCTAGCATCGCCCCGGCAATGATCATTGGCTGCTTATTAGGGGCGAAGCTCCTTAGGGGCTAGCCATGTCCGTATGTCCGTCCGCCGTCCGGCGTGCCCCTGCTCGTGAGTTCACGAGCAGGAGCTCGTGAGCTCCTGCTCGTCAGTTCAGCAGCAAGAGCAAGAAAAAAAAAATTAAAAAAAAAGATAAAAAAAAAATAGGGGGCTCTGAGATGCCATCCTATCCGTCTTAAAAAAAAGAAAAAGAAGAAAACCACACATCCTTCTACTGACATGAATGAAAACGGCACCATCAGCACTACCTATGACCAAAATCAGTATCCTCAGGACCACCCGAGCTTTGCCCCAATCAACATCATTCACCACATGGAGATGCGGTAATTTTTTAGTTAATAAACTATTGTTTATTAAAGGGGCACTGACACATCAAAACCATTTTTTTTTTATTATTATTCGAAACGACTGAAAACGATGCCAGGACACTACCCTCAAAATTCTAAACTTGGGAATTCAGTATTTTTGAAGTAAAAAAACAATTTCCAAATGCCGAATTTGAAGTGCCCATAAGTGCCTGTGCGACCCACGCCAGTGCAGCGACGTCAAATATTGCGGAGCCCTGCGAGTCGACCTTCTTTCACGCCTTCACTCCAAACGTTGCCAAACTGCCGTTGCCGCTGTGATGCCCAAAGCGAGGAGGTGAGAAGCGGGAGAGAAGGGCGCCAGCGGACCGGGGAAAACCAATTGCAGCCGCCTGCCTATCGCGTCGAGCAGACGACGCTTGACGTCTGAAAGGCTGCCTCAGCAAAGTCACAAACGAAACTATGAAACCCAGTTGTTTCGACGGTTTCCTTTTCGAAGTCTGAGACGTCGTCGGGCACCTAAAAAAAAACACTTTGTCCGATTCCCCAACTCACTGATCATCCTCTGCTATGTGCATCGAGCGCCGCCATGTTTGCCGAGGGAGGATACAAATCCAGGAGGCGACATCACACCAGACTCCAATTTTAAATATTAAAAAAAAAGGGCCGTAGTGTGTTCGCAATTGCGTTAAAAAATATGTTTTATGATTGCCGCTATTAAATGTCATAGAAATGTCGCCTACAAAGCTTCTAAATTTCATGATTTTTGACGTCACAAATCAAAAGAAGCGAGGAGGTGAGGAGTGAGAAACAAGGGCAACAAAAATTAAAAAGATGCGCACGTAACAAAAATTTTTTCGCGATGCAGTTATTTTTTTTTGCATGTCTATGACTCCAACTTACATCATTTTAGACGATAAAAAGAAATACGACCTTTGGGGTGCCAGTGCCCCTTTAACTAGTTATTGCATAAAATAAATGTCAAGATAACTATTCTGGAATAGGTTTTCCAACATTTTTGTTTGACACTATCTGGAAATAATAGGATGACAAGGAGAGTGTCACATCTCTTTGGTCAATACATTAGGTCCATGCACAAGTTTGTAATATTTTTTGGAGAAATTTAAACGCAGCACAGGGAGGGGGAAAAGGATGTGTTAGTGCACCGCTTACCCTTACCCACTTCGAGTAACCTATGCCATTGGTCGAACGCGTTACGCCAAACTAACGGCTGAGCTGCATTGCCGACGCTCTCTCCCACGGCCTTGCTACGGTGCAAATAACGCCAAGACAAGCGAGCAAGGCCCACGGAAGGCTCCCACGTAAGGAAGGGAAGAGAGCTGACCTGGGCACCGTCCACGGGAAGAGGCCCACCCCTGCCCCCTCCCCTAACATCCGCACGCCTCCTTGTCGGCCGTCGCCTCGCTCATCAGGTTGGCTGTGGTCCTGCTCTGGGGCTTGTGTTGCACCCCGGACTCGGCAGCATTCAGGTCCAGGCTGCACACGCAACGCGCCAAGGCAGAGTCACGCGATAAAGCAACACCGCTGCCTGCCGAGCATGTTAATGCACTTGAAGAGCCCCCGTTTCAGACCCCTGTCTGCGACCGTTTGAGACCCTGTTTAAAACCCTGTTAGAGACCCTCTTTGAGACTTTGCCACCTTGTACGAGAACCCTGCTCGAGAGCTGTACGGGGACTCTAAGAACCACTTGAGAACCCCCTTTGAGACCCTCTTGACACCCCACTTGAGACCCTGTGTGAAAACTCTCGTTGAGAAATAAACATTTGAGAACCTGTTAAAGAGCCTCTGTGAGACTATTTGAGACTGTTTGCAACCCAGTACAAGAACCCTGCTAGAGACCCTGTTCCAAAACACTGTTTCAGAAATGTATAAGAACCCTGTTTGGAACTCTTTGAAACTCTGTTCGAGAAACCGTTTTCCCCATGTTACAATGCTGCTTGAAAGCTGTTTAGCCAGATGCACTATTTGTGTGGTAGACATATTATGCGCAATACTTCAAGTAAAGCTTCCACGATATGAATCTTCATTTCAAATTGACGTTGAAAAGATTTGAAATTGCCGTGCTCATCTCCACGGAGAGCGAAAACGTCAAACTTCGCGAGCAAACTTGGAGCTCAAAATAAACACAAAACTTTCTCAATTCTTAAAAAGATATCGGAGTTCCCAGTAAGTCTCAAACCACCACACTTAAAAATAAAAAATAAAAAAAAAAACCCTTTTAAAGGAGCTGTGCAACGATATTCAGTTGGAATGTTTTTCACTATACACGAGCTTACTGGCACTAGTGGGAGTCAAGGATACTCGCACGCAACTCCGCTGGCCAAGAAACTCCTTTGTTGCGGTGTAATTTCAAGGACAAAAGCGATCACCTTCATTCAATCTCTCCTTGGCAAAATTTGATGAAGTAACGTGGGGATCGCAGTACACCCATATGACAATATTTGAATGCTGTTCATAGATTGGACCCGAGCATTGCATGGGCACTCGATTTGGGCTCGTGATAATTACTAGCTCAAGAAGCATTCGGGTAGTGGCCCGTGTCCAATCGCTGCAACGACGACAATAGCCGAGCCATAACAATATCTGTAACTCAGCGCGTGCCCTGTGCTTTGCCAACCCCAGCGCGTGGCTATGATCAACATTGGCGGCATATAATCGACTCCAGATCACGTGGCCGCTTGTTCGAGCTGAAAGTTGAGGGGGTGAACGCTGCTCGTTTTTCTTTAATTTTTTGTATGACTTCTATTGCGCGGGGTGAAAAACGCACACGTGTTTCATAAGTCATTAACGTCAGGGATCCGTTTTAAGGGGTATTTGCGCCAAGTACAAAAATTGTTGCATCGCCTCTTCAAGCTTAAATTTTCCAAATCTGAACTTCGGCATGAGCTTTAAAACTTTTTGAACTCGAACCTTGGGAGGTTTGCAACATTTCTGTGCTCGCTGTAAAAATTTCCTGCGGTACGTTGCTGAGGTTAATGCAGTTTCCGCAGCGCAGTCAAAGCCACTTGTGTGAGTGCTTGCGAATGAGCCTCGAGGCAAAGCCACACATTCGCCCAGCATGCCACGTGGGCAGCATGCCATGGGAACTCTTGAAGGTACCTTTGAGAGTTCCCCGTTTGAGAACCTACGACGTAGCACAAAGAAGCTGACGCCGAGCATGGCGAGCACCCCGAGCAGCGCAGAAGCTGCGGGCATGATGCAAAGGCTCACCTTCCGTCCTGAATGTTCTGGTAGATCTTCTTTGCGGTCTCGAGGAACGCCTCCTCGACGTGTTGACCCCTGAAGAGAGCAGGTGCGGGGAACTTAGCCTTTGTCGCCCATATCATTTCTGCTAATGACCTTCGGACCAAGAACTGAACTGCACCGAGTTAAGAGTCAATTGCTGCCAGTTGTCAAAATGGGCTTCTAGAGACACCTGCTATCACTACTACGGTATTACTTCGGTCTAATGCAACGAAACCTTGTTGGATCATTTGCAGAATATAAATTTTGTCACTGCTACAATCTTGAACTCTGGCCCAATGTAAATTATTGTGTAGCATAAGCCACTTCAGCTTTCCAAGTGTCAAGACGTGGCCTTGAGACAATTTTGTTTGCTTTGGCTAACTAGTATAGTACCTCAAATAAATACATGCACAAACTTCTGAAAAAAAAAAAAAATAGCTGCTATGGGGATTCCACTTTCCTTCCTTCTCAACAAGTACACCTACTTTTCTAGTCATGTGCGAATAGTGGATTTTGAGCTTGAAGCGAATTCGAAGCGAAATAGAGGTTTTCGTTGAATAGCACTTACGAATCGAATATCAATTAGATTCTTTAAGCCTTTCAGTACCGTGCACAAGGCTTAAGTTTCAGCCAATCACGTGAAGGTTGTTCTCCACCTTCCACTTGTCCACTTCTAAGCTCGGTTTGTTTTAATATAGATATAATTATGAACTGTGGCGACGAGAATGACAGATTTGTTGCGGTTGTACTAATCAAGGGGATTTATAAATCTGCTCAATATATGCATATACTCTTTCTTCAATTTCAGTACTAAAAAAAAATAAATAATAAAACGGGGCTGTTTTTTGCAATGTTTTGCTGCAGAATTCTATGAACTATATTTCTGCCGATTTAATTAAGACGGACCTCGTTCCTTTACTTTGTCCTTGGTGAGAACAAACCCACCTTGGTTTTCTGACCCTATCAAAACGCTGTTTTCTTCAGAGGCGTTGTGAATACGACCGTTTCCCCGGGAGCTATTGTGAAGATGACCAGAACACTTCTAGTAAGCCTGTATGTCTTCTATCATAAAATGAATGAATGAATGGATGGTATTGACTTTACCCTTTGCATTGGACGGTAGCTTGCGCCACCTAGCCAAAACATTTACACACCTCCCTATTAAATTTCGCTATAAATTATGTCTCTCGTTAAATCACCTACCCTGCCATTTTTGTATTATCACGCTTCACTAACCTCCTAACCAATCTTCAAACCTACTTTTTTGCAATTATAATCGTTTGCTCAGTCCTTCCATCCTCACCAGCAAAACCTACAGTTCTTGCCAAACCATTACTACATTAGGAAAAGCAGAATGAAACCCTGTGCACTTCAAAACCACTTGTTCTAGTGTCTTGCTATCACTGTAGCATACAGCGCATGCTATATGTCCACTTCTTGAAATTTAGCCTTATATGTGCAACATCATAGTAAACTGGGCTAGTTGGTAATAATTAAACATAGTTGATGAAAATCAGCTTCATTAGCGCTATACGTCATTGTCCTTAACACTCACATTCTCACCACAAACATTAAAGAGCTTCCCCATCAATTATCAAAAGCCTGCTCCTTTCTTTTGTGTCGTTTTTGTGACCTGTACATTGCTAAGACTGGTTTTTCTTGCATTCTTCTCTCCCACATTTTCCTTTCTGCTTCTTTTACTCTTTTCCCCGGCACTAATCTGCTCAGCCCCATCCCTGTAGTACGGTAGGTACTTAAATGTTTGTCCATTTTATGTTTAAATGTTTTCACATGCACTTGTTTGCATAGCCTCTGTGCCTATCATGTTTCCTCCGTTTCAGTGAACCTTCGTTCAAATCTCTATTTACTAATTGCCCCTCTGCTTTCAAAGGACGGCCAGCCCATTCCCATCCTATACCCTTTTGTCTGGCGTGTTCCCATACACTCCCAGTGCCAATGTACCCACGCTCCTTCGTCGATGAACTTCGGACCTTATGCATGGTACCCCATTGCCCAAGGATAGCCCAGGCAGCATCACTCCTTTCCATACACCCCTGACCACTCCGTATCCATTATAATTCCACAGTGCCTCGAGTTTTGTAATAGCCAAATTTATTTCCCCTTTCCTAATTATGTCCTTCGCATTCCTCTAGATGTTTCCTTCACTAATTGACCAACACCTTCGGATATTTTCTCTTTTTCTATAAGGTCCATTTTACTCTCGTATTTTCGGGGGTTTCCTCTTTTCGCCGTCGAACACCATTACTACGTACTTGTCACTACTAAAACTCGGGATACTACAACTCAGGACCAAGGTGTCGAATGCAAGTGCATAAACAAGCTGGTGTAAACTGAACGCGACTTAAACCTCGAGACTGCAGCGGGAGCAAAAGCTGAAGCTACGCGCCGGTGCCACTCGCATGTTCCGCGGTGTCAGACGGCGAACGGAATGTCATTGCATTTAGCGACTAGAGATGTTACTGCCTTTAAAAGCACAAACGACGTACGCGGGTTGTCAAGACGCTGCTGCTCACATATACTTTGGCGTAGTCATGGCGAGTCAGCCCCGTTGAGTATGCTTCTTGGTAAGCAACCGTGCACTCCGGGGAAGCAATACCTGTGGAGCCCACAAGCTCCGCGGGTATTGCTTCCCCGCAGTGCACAGGTACTCGGTGAAAAGCGCACTCAACGGGGCCAAGCCGCCTAGATCGACGCTTCAAAAAGTATGATGTCGCGGTTCTTCTCGAAGCGAATATCGAATAGCATATCAGTCAAAACTACTATTCCAATGTTCGCACAACCCTATATTTTACTCTTCGAACTGGTCAGGATGTCTCTGCCATGCGTCAAGTGATATTGACATTATCGAAGCAAACAAGAAAGAAAGATTTGTTTAGCTAAGAAACTTAGTTTCTTTAGGTTAAGCTTGAAGAAGACCTAGCGAAAAGTCAGTCGCCGCCCAGAGGCTTCCAGGGTCTCATTTTGAAAAGGATTACCCTCATGAAACAATAGCGCTGAGAACATTGGGACTAGGGGAAGAAAACACAATTGGACGAGTGCGTGCCTTTTCTTTCGCTAGCTTTCACAAGTGCCGTTTTTTCATGACGATAAAGATAGTGTACATAGATGCGATGGTAGGAGGTAACGTTTACTCTGGCACAGAGACTGTCATAAGCAGCAAAGGAGATGAAACGGTGTTGGTGATGCCCTTTGTTGCAGTGGCAAGCGACTGGGAAAGATACCTGGCATCCCTTCCACAGTTCTCAGCTACATCTATCCGTACCTCTACTATCTCCCTTTCATTTGCCTCTTCCGCACCTTCCACTTAAGCTGCACCGTGGTTTATGACAAAATACTGATCATGACATACATGAGATAGCAAGATATACTGATCATGACATACATGAGATAGCAACAGATATCGATGCAGTTGAAATTTTGTTTAGTACAACCGACTTTATGAAAGAGGGGCAGTACAGCACAGAGTAAACATACACACAGCATGCATGTGCTTGTGCACAATGGAGGAAGCTATAGGTACTACGACTTCAACCACCACAAAATTTACTTACGTTTTTGCACTAGCCTCCACAAACATTAGACCTGCAGGAAAAGTGTGAAGAAAAAAGATTTCTCAGCGCAAGGCAATGTCTCAGTTGGAAAACAATAGAAACAAGAACATATGCTTGTAATGGTCAAAGAATCAACCCAGGCAGAAATAGGCACTCTTTGTCTTGTCTGTGAAGACAGAATTCTATCCATATATAACTTGCAAAGATCCCCCATAAAACTTCCCCCCTTCACAAAAAGAAAGCTTGAAAATAGTCTGAAAATGAATCTTATGCAAGTTTCCTTGGGATGAAACCCTAGCATGTATTTACTTGACTAAAGTGGTATGGCATCCTCAACAATATTTAATGGCTAAGGAACAAAACAACATGCAAACAAATACAAATCTTAACCTTGTATAAATTCAATGGGAAGACAAACTTACAATTAAAGAGCATCAGGGCTAGGGTCACCTCCTGTCACTTCAGGACATTTCGAGATAACGGTAGATTCGAGCTTGAAAAATGCATCCGACTACACCTTTTGTTCTGCGAAACATGTTTTTTCATAAACTTTAACTTTAGACAAGAACACGAACGGGAAGCTGGGCTGTAGTAAACAATGGCTTCAAATCGTCATTGAGAAGTGCACCACAAATAGAGTTTGTCTAATAGTCTAGAGGAAAAGGTACCATACATTTCATTCACTTTAGAATGGTACGGCATGGACACGAAAATCGGTAGTCCCGATGGGCACATATAGCTGGCAACACTTTAATATACACAAAGGAGAAAACCATCACCTGTTTTTTTATAGCTTTATTTTGCAGAAAAACACTAGTGTCGCACGTTATAAAAAAAAAAAAAAGTTGACAAGCACTTAAACAACTTGTTACGGCAAAACAAACACACTTAACCTATCGCAGTTTTGCTTTTTTTTTTCTGAATTTTTCTGTTGCTCCATTTCTCATTCTTTCCCTTGGGACCACAGACGTCAATGCTTACAATTTGCCGCAATCTTCTCCAGTCTTTACCCCTTGGCAACATATGAACAGCTCAACGCAAATGTTGTCTGCATCACGCATCCTCCCCTTTAACGTGTGCAGCGCCTCGCCACACCAAAACCGAGCACCTTGTCACCCGTTAAATTCCGCCGACTCTGAGCATCAGAAACTTTGGTGGCCAGTTTCACTTACCATAGATAGAACCACATCGTAACACTGTGGTCTACCTAGTCCAAGGTAACACAAAAAAGAACTGCTATGTCTTCTAGGCAACATGAAATTAAGCAGAGTTGCCCTTTAAAAATGATAGATGTGAAATTACTTTGTACCGTCCTTGTTCATTTGTTCAATGAGGATGCCCATCGACAGCTACATGCCTTTCTAACAATATACAGTAAACTTCCGTTAATTCAATCTCAATGGGACCTTGAAGTTTGGTTGAATTATCCGAATGATTGAATTAAAAAAAGGATAGAAAAACGGTTCAAATTAGACTTCCTTTTATTGTCCAAAGTACTCACGGATGGTCTGCTGTTGTCTGCGCTTAAAACGCGTGTCCAAAAGCATGCTCCGGAGAGCAACGTAACCAAACATCACGTCCCCCAAAAAACGCTCACTAAAAAAAAAAAAAAATCAAGAGAAGTTTGATGAGCCACCTTTGGCGCCAAACAGCCAGACTGTCGGCGACAGAGAAAAAAAAAAAGGAAAAGAACTTGCGTCCTTTGACGTGCAAGATGGACCGCACACGATGCTACAGATAAGCGCTTTGAGAGCGCACGCTGAAAAAGCTTTACAATCTGACTTTTGCGCCAAACAACCAAACTGTCAACAAAAAAAAGGAAAAGAGACTTTGCGCTTTTTGGCGCGCGAGATGGATCGCACACGATGCTACAGAAGAGTGCGCGCTGTCTCTGCGCCCGACCACATGCTATGTTCTCCATTCTACTCCATGCCAGATTGGTTGCGCTGGCTCGTGTCATTCGCTACGGTCCATCTCAATGGCATAGAGGAGCAGGCGACTATTTGCACACGTTCGGCTTTGTAGCAAAGGGCACGTGTTTCGCCGTATGTTGGTGGTTTTTTTGCTGTGGAGCCGTACAATGTGAGCCCACGCGCATTCGCGCGGAGCGAATTATCCGATGCGGAGTCTTCCCGAGTTCGAACTATCAAACGTTTCCTCCCATATAAATGTATGGGCGCTCGCCGGGACTTTTGAGCACTATCGAATTAAACGAAAAGTTGAATTAACCAAGGTCGAACTAACGAAAGTTTACTGTATCACAACACAGAAAAAAAAAACAGCAAACATTTTATTATTATGTACATAAAGATACCGAACAAAGTAAAATTCATGCATCCTATGACAGTTCTAGTAATAGCTTTCAAAAGACAGATTGAACACTTAGAAATTGACATCCCCTGTACACAGTCCAAATGCACATCCTTACATCGTTGCGAAACCGAGTCGTAAAAAGACACATTTATCCTCACCATTTTCATCCGCAAACTGCTTCGCCTCCTCGTATGTCACATCTCTTTGGGCTTCCAAATCACATTTGTTGCCAATCAGAAAGATCACCTGCACAAGCACACACACATACACACAGTCAAAATCAAAAGACCCCCCCTACAAAAAGCAACCTCACACTTATTCAGACAGCTCACCACAAAATCCCAAAGGAAGCTATAGCTTCTAGTATATACTATCTATTCTGGACAGGACTTGGTGGGATAAATCTGCATTTGTTGATAACTGCTCCGCTAGGGCATGACTCGTGCATGAAATCGCTGAAGAGGTAGCACAAAGCAACACGCGGTGGAGCACAAAAGGCATGCAGTATATGAAAAGACACATTTACTGGCTTCCGTAAGGTTGCTCGAGTCTCTCGCCGCCGAATTCACAAACCTCACTCCAATTGAGGCGCCCCTCCACTTCCTCAAGGAAGGCGCGAGGGCCGGCGCTGGCCAATCGCGAGGAGCCTAAACCGCCTATTCGTCGTCGCAATTGGCTGGCGCCAGCCCTCGAGCCTTCCTTGAGGAAGTGGAGGGGTGCCTCAATTGGAGTGAGGTTTGTGAATTTGGCGGTCGGACTTTGTATACGAGTTCCCAAACTAGTTCTTTAGGAATGCAGGGGTTCTCCACTGTGCCATCAGAGAAACTCTATAGAACCCCTGTGGGGTTCTCCAAGATTCTAAGCTTACTCAACAGTCCCCACCCCTAAGGAGGGGTGGGGATGGTGGAGGTCCAGGTAGAGCATTTTTTTTGGCAACCCATGCACTCCGGAAGGTTACCTTTGGGCCATTATTCTTTTTAATACATACTATAGGCCTCCCATCAAACGCCGAGTTTGCTATCAGGCTATACGCTGATGTCCCTGCGCTGTATAGAAAGAATGTACCTCCAAGTGATCACGTAGCTTTTCAAACTGACCTCAATCAACTCAAAGAATGGTGCGCCACTTGGCAAATAACATCAACTTTCCACTATTTAAATTTAAACGAAGGCATTGAAAGTTAACTTCATATAAATATTCAAGAGTTCATTTCACCCACAATTTGTCCTGGAAAATTCATATATAGCACACAATCAGTGATGTATCTAGGAAACTATGGTAGTTTAAAAAAAAACAAAAACAAAAAAACATTCATTTTGCTTTTTACACAAAGAAGTTCTTGCATATAAAACACTTATTCTTCTGAAACTAGGATAAGCTTGCCATAATATGAAATCCACACCAAAACTACAGTAGGCTCGCGATAATTCAAACTCGGATATTTCATACTTCCGGTTAATTCAAACAGATGTAAAAATTTTAGTTGTCCCGCTATGTTTTTAATGTATTTATAAGCCGCTTAATTCGAACGGCGTTTTTGCTTAATTCATACATTTTTGTTCTCATGGCCCCATTGAGTGCGCTTCTTTCCGAGCACCGGTGCACCGCAGAGAAGCAATACCCACGGAGCTTGTTTTCGCGAGTATTGCTTCTCCGCAGTGCACCGGTGCTCGGAAAGAAGCGCACTCAACGGGGCTCAAGCAGGCACACATTAGCGGAAAACGGCATTCACATTATGTGCTTCAAGACTAGCAATGATGACCAAGACGACATCGAGGATGAGGAACAGTTCACTGGCATCATGCTTTCTGGCCTTGAAGCACATAATGTGAACGCTGAGCTGGCGGAATATGCTAGTCTTGACGACGATGCGTGTGTTTGTCGTGATGACTCATTAGAGGACATAAGGAAGTAATGCCAGCACAGTGCAGCAGTGAGAGTGAAGATGATGAAGAAAGGGATGGCCCACTACCAACTGTCACAGCCGCAGAGGCCTTTAAGCACATCGCTCAGCTCCGGAAGTTTCTGTCTGCAAAGGAAGTCCCGTAAAGAGCTACTTGCGCTGGCTGGTATTGACAATTTTGTTTTGAGATCTCATGTACTGACTAAACAGTCCACAATCGACAACTTTTTTGCCGGATGAATAAACTTAACGTCAGAGTTCTTTCACCCATGTATTATGCGTGTACTTGCTTATAATTAGGCCTATGTAGAAGAAATTGGCAAAAATCTGCTTTGTATGTGTAGCTATTCATGTAACAAATCATAATGTTGTCTAGTATCATATTTAGATGAATTTCTGATAATTCAAACTTCTGGTAATTCAAACTGAAATCTGTGACTTCCTGGAGTTTGAATTAATGAGTTTACTGTATTTAATGCTACAACTTGAAGCTTTTCAAGACAAAGCTGCACGTTTCATCTGTCATGAGTACTCTCCCTAAACAAGTGTCAGAGATCTGAGAAAAAAAAAAAAAAACTTGGGTTTAGTCTCCCTCGGAAAACATGAAAAATTGCTCGCTCATATTTTTTTCATTAAGGCCCGTTCACACTCTTGCGACTGCTTGTGACCTCTTAAACCTGGGTTCCTTAAAACTTCTTAAACCAGAGAACACACTGGCGCCATCTATTGGGAAGCAGTGTAAACTCGGCGGTCCGGCATATTTTTTTTTTATTTCTCGCGCAATATCCTTTCTTTTTTGGCTCAAAAAACTTTTGTCAATGTTATAAACGAGCCTTTCTATGGGTATTACGCACATTTGACCTCGGAAATCCCGCAAAACCTTCGCTTTTGTGAAATGCAGTTCTAGGGTCACCGCATAGATGGCGCCACAATGTTAGTATGTTCCCTCATTCTAGAAACATTTAAGAAGTTGTAAGAGATCTCGTCTCTCTCAGTCGTACTCGGTCGCAAGAGTGTGAACGGGCCTTTACATTTATTACAGAGAATCCTTTTTCAAAACAAATTACATACCTCCTACCTGCTCAGTTCACATCTGACAGAGTTGATAATTTTATGCAAAGTGAAATCAATTAAATCACAAACTAATTTGTTTCTGAAATAAATGTTTAGGGTGCAAACGAGCTGGTGTACATTAAACATGATTCAAAAACCCAGAGACTGCAGGTAACAATGCACACACTCAAGTCTCAAACACAGCTGAAATTTTATTTTCCAAAACCCGGTTACATGGAAGAAAAAAAAAAAACGAACGAAAAGGGGGAAGGAAAACCCCAAGAACACCTCTTTCCACAAATGTGCATTCCAAACAGTTCACAGGACACTGACGGCCTCCAGGACACCTTCCTCCTTTCTTATCTTTGAACCCTGTCACCCCCGACCCAAAAACAAACAAAACAACTTTACTTCCAGGAAACTTGCAAACACTTCAAGGAAAGCACTTTTCAAAGCCTAAGAAATCACCGAAGTTTGTGGTCCAAACCAAACGAAGGCTTATTAACAGCATTTCCGTGACTTAGTATTGTGAGTGATTCCTTTATCAAACGTTTGTGGTCACCTTTTTTCCTTTTTTCTACCAATGTCGAACTCCACAATGGCATACAATCATTACCTTCGGCCAGATGTTTCGAAACTTCAGAGTACAGGTCCTTTTTCTTTATACAGCGCTTATGTTCCGTCAACCATTTATATCAGACAAATTAAACGATGTATAAATGAACGGTTGACGGAACATAAGCGCTGTATAAAGAAAAAGGACCCGTACTACGAAGTTTCGAAACATCTGGCCGAAGGTAACGATTGTATGCCATTGTGGAGTTCGACATCGGTAGAAGGGAAAAAGATGACCACAAATGTTTGATAAAGGAATCACTCACAATACTAAGGCATGAAAACGCTGTTAATAAGCCTTCGTTTGGTTTGGACCACAAACTTCGGCGGTTTCTTAGGCTTTGAAAAGTGCTGTCCTTGAAGTGTCTACAAGTTTCCGGGAAGTAAAGTTGTTTTGTTTGTTTTTGGGTCGGGGGTGACAGGGTTCAAAGATAAGAGAGGAGGAAGATGTCCTGGAGGCCGTCATTGTCCTGTTAACTGTTTGGAATGAACATTTGTGGAAAGAGGTGTTCTTGGGGCTTTCTTTTCCTTTTTTCGTTGCTTTTTTCCTATTTAACCAGGTTTTGGAAAATCAAATTTCAGCTGTGTTTGAGACTTTTGAGTGTGTGTCGTTGCCTGCAGTCTCAGGGTTTTTGAATCGTGCATAATTTGTTTCTCTTTCCCCCACTGGCCTTATCCGTATAAGACTGGAATAGTCACCCTGAAATTTTTTTCACTCTTTCAGATCCAATACTGTTTAAACTAAGCCGAGAAGAGCTTATTTCTTAACTTGATATTTCCTCGATGCCTTTTGTATTTTGGAACAATTGCTTTTTTTTGCGCTCGTTGATGCACCGAGTTGTGGAAAGAGTAGGTAACTCTTTATCTCGAGTGTTTCATATTTCATATCATTTAACATCATTATACTTCTAGTACTGTCAGTTTCTCTGTTACCATTATTCTATGTAGGTATATCTATATATCTACCACCCAAGGGTGTCCCAAATAACTTGCACCAAACTTTAAAAACAAACAAAAAAATATGGAGTGCTCTGTGGGAGCGAAACTAACCGCATATTATTAGTGTCTTACGAAAGTGCAAAAATATCTTAAGTTTGCTTAGTTACATATTTCATTATTTAAGACTAATTAGCTAAGTGTCTAATCATCCGTTTACGAGCTGAGGAGTGAATTGGATAGTTGTAGAGCACACTGAGAAACTTTTAACAAAAGTGTTCGCTCCGTAATAGACTTTGCTCACCCGTTTTTTTTAAAGAGAAAGCCCGCGAAATATAGATAAAGATCATGTGACAACACATCCAAACGTTGCGCTTCCAGTGCTTTTAGATGTGCTCTGAAAGAAGGAAGTTCACCTTATCCCTGGCGCTGTTCGAGACGTGGCTTCGTGTTGGTGCAGGCCCTGAGGATACGCACGAGTGCCTGCTGCCGCAGAGCCCTGCCTCAAACGGCGCACCAGTGACAAGGTAAACTTCGTTCTTTCAAAGCCTGTCTAAGGGTGCTGAAAGTGCGACGTGTGGGCACAGTGTCCCATGGTCCATTTTTTATATTTCGCAGGCTTTCTTTCTAGGTTAAAACAAAGAAGTGCGCAAAGCGTATCGTGCAGCAAACACCTTTAATTGGATGTTTCTCAATACACTCTACAACTTTCCAATTCACACCTCGGCTCTTAAACAAATAATAAAAAATTATATAATTAGTCTTAATTAACTAAAAAAAACTAGGTGCACTAAAGAAGATGTGTGCCCTTTCGTAAAACGCTTGCTAAGAACATACAGTTAGTTTCCCTCCCGCAGATCGCTGTTCTTTTTTTTAAAGTTTAGTACAAATTATCTGCGACACCCTGCATAGATAGCGACTTCTCCATCTTTCTTGCTTTCATCCTCTTGTGATGCATCGCTAAACGACTTTGAGATACAAGAAATTAAATGGAATGTATGAACCGAACTCTCTTTAGCGTAAGCACCATAGATTAGAAATCTACAGGCTCTAGAACTGCACAAAAGGTTCACACCACACAAAACATTAAATCTGAAATAGTTATGCTGCTAAAATGTATTACATTTGGCTATAATGTTTTTTTGTTTTTTTTTTGTGAATAAACTTTTAGTTTAACAAATTAATTAAATTTTATTATGTACCCCACCCTCCACCCCCAACTCCAGTTTTGTCTTCAAGTGTGTACTATTCTCCTCTCGCATGTACTGGATGTTTCATTTTACTGATTAGTAAACTGCACAAACTGGTTTCTTTTCATAAAGAGTCACAAATTTCACAAGAAAATCATACAACCAAACCTTGCCGATACATACATTCTCGGTTAATGTTTTCCCGGCCATTACATTCATGAACACGAGTTTATTGAAAACCAAAGGGATACAAATAACGTCCAATGAAGAAGTACCCCCTTTTTTTTTCTTGGTTTTTCTTGTACAGCAGTGCAACCTATATGTAGTTATTTCCGTAAGTATGAACCTCGTGTGCAACGACAAAGAACAGCCCAAAGGGACGTGGTGTAGATTCATGGCTACAGCAAGCCCTCCACTCTGACCCCATCCGCCAAAAAGGGCAGAAGGCACAGTAGTTAACGAAACAGATTGGCGGACGCTGGCAAAGGCCATTTGGTTTGGTTTAGCTTGCTTAGGCCTAATTGGCTCTGCACGCCGTCTTTCGTCGCGCTCCGTAACTATGCGTTGCCTTTTACAGGAAGCGCAGCTGTCTCCCTTTTTTTCCGGCATCCGCCTCTGGTCTATCCGATCACTGCAACAGCCGCATTTCGCCTTTGCATTCTTACACTGTGTTGGCGTCCTGCTAATATGCCGCCACCGAAAGCGTGGAAAAGCTATACTACTGCAAGATTGAAGTTGTGTGCTGTCGTACATGCGACTGACAACGGCAACCAAGCAGGAAGGCATTTGAATGTCAGCGAGAAAATCATCTGGGACTGGAACAAAGCTGCAAGCATGCTACAGTCAATGAAGAGCACAAACAAGCGCGATTTATAGTCCGGAAAATATGGAATTCATTTTCTGCCTGTTGCATTTGCCTTATCTGTTATATTCATAAACTGCACTACTCAACCATCCTTTTCGTTTTGCTTCACTCCCCCTCCTTTCCAGCTCTTTACAACTCTGCACCACGTTTCTTCCTTGAGCAGCCATGACCTCAAACTTTAGCTGGTGTTAACCTGATGGTGCTATACATCGTCAAGGCTCACACAGTTTCCACAACACTGTCAAAGCGATCCGTGTGCTGTCCATGATGCAACTGGGACTCACCGTGTTGGGGTTGGTGAGGTTCCTAGCATCGGTCAGCCAGCTACTAAGGTGGTTGTATGTGCTACGCCTGCAAGAGACACACATGCAACTGAAACTCGCACAATTTGAGACGTCTTCATGTTCCCCTTTTTCTTCCTTTGTCTCGGGGTTTCACAAGATTGATCGTTCACCAGCTAGTCTGCAATATTACCCTTATATCAGTTCTCCTCCTCCTTGCATACTTCGTCTCCACCTTCAATGGACCAACCATAGCCAAAGCTACGGGCTGCGAGGTCCAATCACGAGCAAGTTAGAAGCCATGTGTTATACTCCGACACACTTATCAGTATGTGCCTCTCCGAGTACTCAGAGTACCGATAGATTAGATTGCAGCAGCATAGCATGAGGCTTTTAACTGGCTGGCTTGTGACTGGATCTCACGGCTTGTAGGCTTGGCTAAGGTCCATCGTAATGTAAGACGAGCCCTATAGTAACAGCCACAAATGAAGGACTCAAACTTGCCTAGCCTCTTTCCTCTAATAAAGCCAAACTCAATTATGATTCAAACTAACAGCAGGGAACCATTGCCGAGTCTAGGAAGCGCTCTTTAGTTTGCACAACCCAAAGTCGTCAGGGCCAAGAAGACTAAGATAATGGGATCTATGAAGTCTTCCTAAATTTAGGGAGTACCAAACATTCTAATATGATAAGAATTTTGTCACTAGTGTATATAATTTCTCAGGTACCAACAACTTGTTCTATCCCCTCCTCCACAGTCTCCAAAAGGTCAGCAACATTTCTAAATAAATAAAAAAAAACATGCAGAAAGACAAAAAATAAATTTAAGAATCAATTAAACATTTATTTTTGTCTCTGCACAGTCTGATCACCTCCCCCCGTAAGCACGGGACTCCTTCAAGGAGCGTTCTGAAAATCTTGGGTTTATGTCACCTTACGTCCGATATTTCATAAACCCTCTTTGCACCAAATATAAAGAACTTTGATACTGATTTTGATACTGGCTTTACATCCAAAGACAAATCAAGTTTTTTTTTGTTTTTTAACCAATTGTGGCTTAGATGAAACTCATCTACCAAGAAATGCAAACATCAAAATGCACAAACATCACCAGTTTCTAAAAGAAAAAAAAAAAAAAACTAGCTTACATTTTTTATTAGTGCTACAACTTTGAGTTCTCAAAATTTCAACACCCTTTCATTCGCAAATTAGAAGAAAGTGAGGCAACCTGGAAGCACTATGTTGGAGGCAAAGGTTTTCTGCTCATGCATATTATGATAGGGCATAAATGCATGCACGTCTGCACAAGCGGGATCTAGAATTATCAGTCATGATGAGGTACAATCGCAGCGTAACCTTTCGCCACTTTCTTTGCGTCATGAAGCTCCTACTGCATTGGGCTGCTGCGGTAAAACTTGCACTATGCCCTTTGACAAGCTACATTTTGTCAACATTGGGGCCAAAGTCTGGCACCATAACACAGTGTGGATGGTATGAAAAAGATAGGATTCATATGCATGCATTCTTCAACTGCTATGAATTTCCAGTGTCCATTCCGGAAGGCACCCTTTCTCTACCATTCTTCCACCAGGAACGTGTAACAACCAAAACGGTCTCAGTGTGCTGTTAGACACGGTTCCCTGAAGCTTAGCAGTGCATGGTTCTGTGAATGTTGTGACTTTTCTGTGACAGAAATAGAGGTCCCCAAAAAGTCCAGAAAAATGGGACTTTGAGTTGGTGTTTAAATACAATGATATGTGGCAGGCAGGGTTCTCCCTAGAAATATTTGGGATGAGGATATCTGACAATTATCAGGTTGCTGGGAGGAGGAGGGGGGGGGGGGGAAATTGCTGAAACTTTTGGTGTTCTTGGTACTTTCTTTACCGTACAGAAGCGATTTTGTTTCCATAGATTATGCAGTTCAGTTGTACAGTGCCACAAAAGTCTGCCAAACACGACAATTTGAGGCGTCAAGCATTTTTGAAAATCAGCATGTCTTGTCCTGCGGAGGCAAAATATAGAGGGGGGCTGAACGCAGCAAAGATGGGCAGTCAGCCAGACTGGTGGGTAGCAAAACCATTGCCGCCCACTGCTGGGAAGAACCGCGGAGGCAGGCATGCCTGAACCAGGGACTGGGCTACAGTCCGGAGAAAAATGCTTTGCAGAGTCAGTGACTATTATGACAACTAAATGTGTCAGATGAAATCAATAAGTGTGTGCATTAACAAAAGGTAATTGGAACGCATGAACACGCTCCGTTGCACACATCACTGAAACTGGGCGACATAAATGAAAAAAATGTGCACTCCTGCAAATTGAGGAAGCACAAAGAGATTCCTCAGAATGACAAAACATCCCCCAAGTGCCACCAGGGACCATGAGGGCAGTGCTGTTCGTATTGCTCGTAGATGTCAGCCAGTGACATTCTTAATGTTGCTCCTAACTGTGCTTAGAGAACAGCATACTCTTTCCAAACTCGGTAAGAAACAAGTGGAACCATCAATTCATCAGTATTGCATCTCTCTTATCATAAAAGCCCTGCAGACGATGGCCATAACTAAAGGCTTCTATGCTGTATTATATAAAGGTTGGATGAGATTTCATTTATTTCAATATTCCCGCGGCAAAGTTCACCACTTGTGAAAGGGGTTCATACCACCTTCTCGGTGCTTTTCCGGTGAAATGAAGAGTGCACAGATCCAGTGCCTAATATTTTGATGAGCCTTACACAAAAAGTATGTTTCTAGCTTGCAATTTGGACAAAATTTCTTGTACTGCAACATGGGGCTAAACTATTCCTCTGCCATTTCTGTAGTGCACTTGTGGCACCATAGGCCACTGCTGTGCTTTTTGCCCTGCTAACCGTGACTTGGAAATCCATATTAAACTTGGGCAACTTGCATCCTCGTAAACGTCCTGGCCAAGGCACCATAGGAGGAAGTGAGTCAATTGCGCCAACACGGCCCTAGTGCCTCCGTGCACATGCTTTCAGACAAAGGGGGCGCACCTGGTGATGTCGTAGACCATGAGTGCCCCGGCGGCACCCCGGTAGTAGGAGCGGGTGACGGCCCGGAAGCGCTCCTGGCCGGCCGTGTCCCAGATCTGGAGCTTGATCTTCTGACCGCACACCTCGATGATGCGGGTGCCAAACTCCACCCCGATGGTATGCGGGCAGTCTGCCATGAACTTCTTTTCCGTGAACTGGTGTAGCAGGCATGACTTGCCCACCCCCATGTCCCCGATGATGATGTACTTGAAGATGTACGAGTAGTTGTACGGCCCGGACGCCATCTTTGATGACGCTGCACTGTGTCCCTATGGAATAGGCCTGCTGCTGTGCTGTCTGGCCCCGGTGCCCACCTCTTCTGCCCGCTTTGCTGCTGCACGACCGACGGGCGCTGTTACAACGCAACGCCCTGCGGAGAAGACGTGGCCCCGTTAGGGCCGACAGGAACCACCACTGCATTTCATTTGTTCATTCTTTAGGGACCCTTTTTCAAGGGCATTATATAAGGAGGGGCTGTCAAATGCAACAATGCTACATGATAGCCAACAACAAAAAAGCAGGAAACAACAATAGGCCTTGCCCTTCGACGAGTGAAGCTAAAAAAAAGTGCTAAAGTGCAGTGCAAAAGAAAACCAAATGCCAATAAAAATGCTATAAATAATACATCACACACACACACAAAAAAAGATAGGCACCCATAAACCTTACATTACGAATGACACAAACAAAATCTAATTGCACCTAAAAATATGCAGAATAAGCGAATTCATAAAAAAAAATGGGGTCAGCAACTGACACAAGAGTGTTGAGAAGATTGTTCCAGTCCCCAATAGTAAGTGGTAAAAATAATTTATTTAAAGCGCTATACCGTGTTGCAGCTTCAAGGGAAGCTGAAACACTTCTTTCAAAGAATGAAATAGCGGTTGATTCTAGCATAGTTTTACCCCATGAATCTGAATATCATTTTCGTTTTCCCTGGAGATGTAACTAAACGTGAGAAAACACGAACCTTCGACCAGTCATTACGTCATTAGTGGATCTTTCGGCCGCCAAGCGCGTGTCGCTGTAAGGTCACGCGTGCAATTGCAAGCTTGCCAGGTATGTTCCTCCGCACTGCCACCAGTTGCGACGTCTTCTTCTGCCCTTTTTAAAAATAGCACGAGTGCTCGTGCACAGCTTTGATTGGCGCTGAAGATGCACAAGAGTGGAGATTCCAGAAACTCCTTTTATGACGTCATGCTTCAGGAAGGAGGGCCTTCGGCGGTACTTTCAAAATGATTTTCTGCAGCCTTTAAGCACCAAACTAAAAAATAATTTCGATATTTGAGATCTTGAAGGTCAAATGAAGACGATTTAAGTGCGTTTCCTCAAATAGGAAATGGCGTCAGCTACTTTTTAAGAATAGCGCAACAAGCTCCTCTAACAAAGCTCTCCATCTTTTCCACTTTAGCAGAGCGAAAGCTGGAGAGGACGCCAGTGAACTCTCCTTCTCGCCGGCGTTCGCTCACTTAAGTGGAAACAGTGCAGGGCTTTGTGGGATGAGCTTGTCCTGCTTTTCTCAACTGGCAACATTGTATTTTGTGTTTGTTTAGAGAGCAGGAAGTTGGTCAGCCTCAATGGGCATCTGGTGTCTCAGCCGTAGATGAGAAATTTAGCTAATGCAGGACACTGCTAGCCTGGGGGTCTTCAACGCGCATCATGCAGTAGTGATACACGAATGTGCGTCGGTACGGTGCTCATGCAGAATGAAACGGGCAGGGGTGAGAATTGAGCCCAGGGTCCCTGGGTTCTGCAGCGCAAGCATTCGATCCCCATGCTTCTTTTCGCCACCGATTCTCCCCCGACAGGAACTGCCAAAGCGGCAACACTGCAAGCAGCTGATCCGTTGTCCCCTATATTTTCACAGCAACCCTCGCAACATGTGAGCAGAAGGATGAGAGACAAAACGGAAGATTTTTAAAACTTAAAGTAGGAAGTTTCATCTAGATGGGGGGGGGGGAGGTGTCTCAAACACGTGGACCAAAACTTGAGAGGGTGTGACCCGCAGACACCTTGCAGCTGCCTGTGGGTCCATTTCTCTAGCGCTATGGGTGCAATAAAGAATTGTGTTGTGTCGT